CAGTTCTTCTCAGAGCGAAACACGCACAACTTGGGGATGAAACTGCTCCAAAAATATGAACAGTCATTCGGAAGACAGCAACATCCTGTGTAACATCTCCACCTGGCCACCACAAGAAGCGAAGAAAGTCTTTGCCGCCTTCTGCCACTTTGACCTGGTAAAACATTGCTCTAATGTCAGTCATGAAAGCAACAAGTTCTTGTCTGAACCTCAGAAGAACTCCAATTAAAGAGCTTGTGAGGTTTGGGCCTTGCAGTAGTTGATCGTTTAAAGATGTGCCTTGGTATTTTGCTCCACAGTCAAATACCACACGTAACTTGCCTTTACGAGGGTGGTACACACCATGATGTGGAATGTACCAAACTTTACCGTCAGATCTATCCAATTGATGCTCTGGCACTTTCTCAGCATAGCCTTGGATAACCATATCGTTGACAAAGTCTGTATATTCTTGTTGAAACTTAACATTCTTTTCAAACTTTCTTTTTATCCCCACAAGACGCTGTTTGGCAATGTTAAGATTGTTAGACATTATAACATCTTTGTTTTTGAAAGGCAGTTTCAAACTATAATGTCCATCCTTGAAGCTCACAGATTTCTCCATGATTTCCATGAACTTTACCTCCTCTCTGGACATTTCTTCTTTGTCCTCTGACACTTTTTCATTGAAATCATGCTGGTATTGCTTTTCCAATAGCAACTCCAATGTTTCAACAGAGATCCTGTTTACTCTAGCAGTATGTTGTTCATTTTGATAACTGCCTAGAGAACCATTGACGACCCACCCCAATAGGGTACGTATGGCATAGGGACCATCTCCCTGACTATTTACTACTTCCCACGGTTCGAGTAATTTGGAGGCGTTGGTACCTATCAATAACTCCACTTCAGCCTGAATGTGCGGAATTTGAATATCATCAAGATATGGCCATTTAGTTAGGTCTTCCCGATTTACCATGTTGGCTTGGTTTACGGGCATTTGTTTCTGTGTGTACACTTCTGGCAATTCATAAAATGTATTACCATCAAGACTTGAAATCTCCAAGTTGTTCACCACATAGCTTGAGACTGTTGTTTTGGGACTCATGGTAAGCAAACAAATATTTGTCTTTCGTCCATTCAGGTGCAGCTTCCTCATTAAACTTTCCGAACAAAAGGTAGAGGTACTGCCTGTGTCCAGAAACGCGTAGGTTTGAACAATTTTGTTGCCCCTTGCAGACTTTACTTGGACTGGAAGGATAGGTAAGATACCACTGCTACTCCCGGCCCCAATATGACCACACGTTTGGGCAGATACAAGTGTATTGTTGATAGTTGGTTCTACATTCTGTTCATGGTTTGTGTTGACAGCTTTATCAACTTTGAACTCCTTCAAATGAATGTGAAGAACACTGGGATGTTTCTGGTTGCACACTTTGCAAGTTAAGCGCCTTTTACATTCTTTGCTCATGTGTCCAACATGCAAGCAACCAAAACAGACAGCTTTTTCCTTTATAAAGTTTACCTTTTCCCTATGTTTCTTCTTCTCAAACTCTTTACATTGCTCTAAAGAATGACCTTGTGAACAAAACAAACAAGTGGAGTTACTCTTGAATTGCCTGCTTGGATGTTCAGCATTTACCCTTTGGATTTCACAAACAATGGGTTTGTTAACATTGGTAACATTGGTAGCAAAACTATCCCCTTTTAACTTTGGCTTTGACTGGAATTGTGACTTCCATTTGTAGACATCCTTCGGTTTACCAGTTGTTCTCATCTCTACATGTTGAATAGACCCAAATATTGGATCAGAAATGATTTTAACTTGGTATTCAACGAAGTTGACAACATCACTAAATTGGGCTCTTCTTTTCTGTCTTTCCATGATATCACATGCAGCTGTTCTCCATTTTTCTCTGAGTTTAAATGGAAGCTTTAGAATTACTGCTCTCATGTTTGTTGGCATGTCCAGTTCTTGCATATACTGTAGATCTGCCATAGCATTGCAACACCCACGTAAAAAGAGTGCATAATCTTGAAGAGCTGTGGTATCTTCATACCTGATCATGGGCCATCCAAGCACCTTCTCCATATATGCAGCAGAAACAAAATAATCTTCTCCAAACTGCCGTTTAAGCATAGTTTTAGCTGTATCATAACCTCTTTCCGGTGCCATATTCATACAGCTTCGAACAATTTCTCTTGGGCGCCCTCTTGTGTATCTTTCAAGGAAATACAAGCAATCACCTTTGTTATTCGTTTTTTCCTCCACACAGTGTTTAAAAGCTTTAGTGAACAAACTGAATTGCAATGGATCCCCTTCAAACACTGGAATATCACGTGGTGGTAAATGTTGAGACTTTTGCTGTTGTACTAACAACTCCGTTATTTCTTGATGTTTTTGAAACATACTCTGTGTGAAATCAGACCTTCTATCATCTACTGAAGTGGCTATTCTGGGTCTTGAAGATGCAGGTTGCTGTAAATGAGATGATGTTGGTTGTGAGGTAGCACCTATGCTGCTTTGCAATATAGTCCTTGACTGTCTCTCAACATCTGGTTGAAGAGATGCAGTTGCTTGTTTTGCCTGTTTGTTGACATAGGATTCCATCCCATCTGATGCGATGCTGTTTGCTCGTTGTTCATAAGTCCTGAGCACAGATATCTTTGCATTGGATGCGGCGATTTTTGCATCAATATCTGTTCGTTCCTTACGCTTCTGTAACATTTCCAACTGTTGCTCAATATCATGCTTAGCTTTTAAAGACTCTGCTTGAGCGACAAGAGCGGCTTTTTCTGCTTCAAGTTGAATGCATACCAGTTGCACAGAGGCATTAGATTTGCTGGAGCGTGAACTGTGGCGGTTGCTCTTGTGAGAAGTGCGACCACTAACCCGTGTTTCAACATTTGAAATGCTATCCTTGGGTTCAATTTCGCTTGCAGCATGATCACATTCCTCCTGTAGCTTCTCACACCAATTATATACCACAGTGCTGAATTCCACAACCCATAACATTTTTGCTTTGAACCATGTTTCATGCCGGTCTTTCTCTTCATCAGGCAATAAAGCAATCAAAGATTTGTGTACTTCTTTTGCTTCTTTGCATTGTGTTTCAAACTTTTCAAACATACCTTTGACCTCATTTTCATATTCTCTATTACCCATTAACTCTTGTATTGTCTTTTTTAGTTGGGATGCTTTGTCAAATTTTGACTTTCTTTGTTTCTGTAAAATATCGAGTTTTGCCAATAACCCTTTTGCAGTAAGCTTAACCTCTCGTTTTCGTACAGACAATTCAACATTTTCATCCTCTGCTTTCTGCGTCTGAGCCCCATCTTGCTCAATTTCAGAACCAGGAAACTCACTTTCATCCGCCATTTTTAAACCTTTACTAACTGCATATTTTACATCATAAACATCAACTTAAAGTGTAAACATTAACAAAAACAATTAAGCATTTCACAAACAGTTCAGTTCTTCGTTTCACAAACCCCTCTTTTTTTTCTTTTTTTTTTTTACCACCAATGCGCATTGGATTTGTCTTTGTTTGTATGTGTGCACACTGTTTTATATATAGTCATTTGACTCAAGTTCAAGTGAAAGCGCTTTCATACCTCAGTTCCACAAACGCTGAAGCCTTTGCTGTTCGTGTGCTCTGTATTCTCTTCGTTTAGCACGTGCGGGCTTGTAGTCCTTCGAAATCCGCGGCGTTCAATCCCACGCAATAATAATAATCCACAAAAAATAATCCAACAAAACTGTCATGAATGAGCATCATCCGACTTCAGATCCGCTGACTTTTCCTGTAGTCGTCCAATTCGATCTGTTCCAGTCGATGTCGATACAAGGCTCATTCAGGCTCCTTCGGTCAAACTTTTTGACTTAATGTAGGGACGCAGATGGTTTCTTTGGTCTGTTTCTGACGCGTGCCTTTGTCTTGAATAAAATAAATATTGTCCATACCTTCAGAATAAGTTTCGGATAAACCAAATCCATTTATTGTCCATTTGGTATTGCAAACAACAAAAAAGAACGAAAATAAAAACTAAATCAAAATATCTGATTCAAAACATACTGTTAGGCATGAGCACATTCTTTCAATCCAACTCTCAACACGGCACGGTCAAAAAGTTTGTTGACCTTCCATCAGCGCACCTGTAACTCATTATCACCTTACTTAAATATACTCAAAATACTCATACGCCCTCTAGTGTCACAAACAAAAAATACAATTCAAAATAATGGCTCCAACAAATAGCATTACACAAAAACTAAACAACAGCAAGTCAGCAATATCAAGCGAGTCAAAAATATCAATCTTAATGTCCTTTGTGGGTCAAATTTGAGTGAACATTATATTTGAATACAAAATTAGACAAAAAGATTAAAAAAAATCTCTATTCAGTTAAAAAATGAAGGACAAATAATACAGTTTACACCAGGTAGAGTCAGTCAGTGCTGGATTTACCACTGACCTTCACTGTCTAAACTATCACTGTCACCAAAATGACTGGTTTCCGGTTGGTTTCATTCTCTGCGTGGACATCCCCTTATAGCAGTCATACAGAAAGACTGGTCCAGGGAAAAACACAATGGCTGCGTCTGAAATCACATACTCTCTGAGTAGGTACTTCTTTTGAAAAAGCATGTTCTATTTAGTAGCAATGTGTGTAGTATGAATGCAATCCGTACGGTAGTATGATTACATTCCTACTAAATAGAACATGTATGTATACTACATTTGTCATGTGATGGACAGTGTCAGTTGTATCACTTCACTGCCATTCACAACTTCTCTCTAGTAGCCTCATGGGATAGTAAATTGTCCATTGTGTGTGTATTTCGGAATCTTGCCGGCAGCAGTAGGTCATCCGGGTACTTTTTGGCCTACAGTTCAAATACTGTGAATTCTGACATACTGCTCTTTTCACATTCTGTTTTTCGTTTACTACATAGAAGTATGCGCATTCGGTTGCCGCCAGTGTGGTGAAGGCAGAGAGAGAGTTTAAAATGCACTCACTGATATGCTCCAAATCTGCATTCCATCAGTGTAGCCAATCATCAAGCAGAGAGGTGGGTCAGTGCCGCTGCCGTGCATCTCTTGGAACTCTGGTAGGCGGGACACATCTGGACAAAGGACAAGAAACACTCATTGTCTGCGTAACAGAAAACAGCAAGTAAACCACAAAGTCTTGGCATAAGTGTTAAACAACGCAACAAACAAACAAGACACAGATGATCAGAACAACGGAATACATAAATAATGATTCAAAAGTTGGCGAAATCTATCACCTTTCTGATTGCCACTGTTTATTCTTCTGATGAAATGAAAAAGTAAAAGCAAAGCTCATGGCTAGGTTGTCAATACAAGTCTTATGCAGTGAAGCAAGACGTGTCACTTGTTCTATCAATGTTCTGCTGTAGTGTGCTAGGCTAGGGCACTGGGATTAAAGCTATTGATGCTAACAGGCTAAATAAATTTATGAAGAAAACTGGCTGTAACGGAGTTGTCGCTGAGAGGAAAATTATGTCTGAACTTCTGGCAGTCATCTTATCCACATGTTTTCTGCACAGCATTTGGCTGACCTAGCATTGGTGCAATAAAAACTTGTTTAGCCCAATATGACAAGATAAATATGAACTACTGTGATAGCCATGTTTAGGATTTCTTACTGCTTCTTACACTGCCTTTTAAAAGTTTGGGGTCAGTCAGCAAGGATGCAAAAAAGTGACAATGAACATTGAACAATAAACTGAAACTTTTTAAATGGTAGTGTACTTTGGAAAAGTTTCTTTTGCTGTGTAAAAACACAATATCAAACTTTGGTGGCTTGCCTTAAAAATAAATAAAAACGGTTCACAATACTTGGGTCCTAAGACCCAATGTGTTTTATGCAGAATGCATCAATTTAACATGACAAAACAAAATATATTTTCCACAACATCTAAAACAAAAATAGAATTAACTCACCATTGATGTCTGTTTTTTCAAAACGGACCCAAACTATCTTTTCTTTTTCATCATTTGGAGGTGTCCCAGTGTACGCCTGAAATTTCAAAGACGCATTAATAATTCGTTCTTACCCTCACTATCAATCAATTTATCTTAACTTTTTTAAATCCTCTGAACAGTTTTACAACAGAAATATAATAAGACCTTGAATTGTCCCTAGATCAACATGTCATGTACATTTGCCTAAATAATAATAAAAAAATTTAAATCTCCAGTTTTTAACACAAAAAAGGACATTTACCTGAGGGACTACATCCTGCAAGAACGTAACTACGCTCTCCATGTATGACTGTTCTCTGCAAAAGAGTAAACCCAATTGTCAAGAAAAAAAAAAACCACACAAGAAGAGACCAGACAATACTGATAGCTTGATCAGCGACAAAATATTTTGTCCCTTTTTTGTTTGTGACGTCTTAATATTTACAATACTGAACATTTGGCTTTACAAACTAAAAAAACACAGAAATTTCATTTCACAAACGATTCATTATGCTCTTACGTTGCAGCCTGTGCTCGAACCACAACCCCACCAGCACAGCGGCTCGGTCTGCGCGGGGAGTCAGACGCCATGGCCAACCACTCAGTATCCTGCTGGACCAGAGTATGAGAAGATAAAGTCATGGTTTTTACATGCTCATTACTCTAAACTTTACTGCAGAGATTAAGTACTGCTTATCATTGATCATTCTGATCTGTATTACCCCAAAGTCAACAGAAGTAATAGGCTACAAATGATAACTGCATCACTGCAGATCATCCACCTTGCAGATGGATGTAAACAAATAAGGCAAAGATGTGCCTGGATCAGTTTAATCTGCACCATAGGCACATTCCTATTAAGTATTGATCCTGTAAATGTCTAGAACACATACTAGTTATGACAACAGACATCTGCGCGAGATAAACAAAAGAAAACACTCTGAAGCAAGATTTACTAATAACCAAACTATAGGATGCAAACACATTTCTTGACAGTATAACAACGTGAGTAACTCTTGATTTAGTTACATTTTTCCATAAATTTAACATAATTTATAGTGAAACAATGTCCAAAAAGAGGTCAATAGTGTGTCAGCTGTCAGTTGTGTCAGTACAAGACATTTCATCATATCAACTAACGTTATTTCCACAGTTTGTCTGTTAGCTTAGCCAGTACCGCTGTCATCACAAAGCCTTAAAGACTATAAACTGAGCAATGACAATAACTTATAAGACTTCCTGAAAGAAATATATACATACGGTAAGCTAGAAACGTGCAGGTGAATGATTAAAGAAGAGAAGAGACATTTGTACTAACCCGAGTTTTTGTGTTTTGAATTCGGATCAACAGAGGTCCTCACAAAACGCCACAGTGAAGCTGACATACAGCGGAAACAACAGATGGTTCAGCCAATCAGAGGGGAGCGTCGTAGACGAGTAGCCAATAGACTTACGACAAAGGCGGGCATTTAGTAATTTCTGACCAATCGGGGGCGGCAGGAGCTGTTTAGGTTTTTTGTTCCCTTAACGATTCTGATGTGTCGTTAAAATTAACATTCACAACATGGTGGAGTGTTATTTAAAGCAAGGTTTATTTGGTTCGCGGTCTTCGAACATTTCGACATTTAAAAATGCGCAGAGCAGCCCGAATAAACCTGCATGTTACCTCACGTCACGGTCACGCTGATGTGTTTATTTACATCTAAATATCGCGTGATGATCACTAGCCGAGCTACTTCGCTCATCCTCGGCTTTTTCCGGAATAAAATGTAGTGGTTGTCGACTTTTAAAGCATAACCAAAGCCCGTCTACGGATATATTAGACTTTCTCTGGCATAACTCTCCTGCTGCGATCCTTTACTGGAATCATTTATTAAAAAATTTAAATTGAATGGTCCTTACAACATTTATCATTTATTTTGGTCATGTTTCTATAGTGAACTATGGACAAATATTGACACATTTTTTTTAAGATAATATCCAGCAAGATGTATCAACCATTAAATAAAGACATTATTTTTGGATACTTTGATTTTGACCCTACTAAAAACAAAGCTTGCTTTGTGATAAATTTAATTTATTTTCTTAGCAAATTTTATATACATAAATGTAAGTTCAACAACAGCAAACCAGTTTTTTTTTTAAATAAGAATTTAAAATGTACCTTAACAATATGTCATCCTCAGTAAATAAGAAAGCAAGTAAAAACAACCTCAATGTGTAATGACTGTTGTATAAAATAACCCTCATGGTTTTTTTTTCTATCTTCTCCTATTTTTCCTTTTATTTTTCCTTTACCAAATAATTTACTTTTTTTCTTCTATATGTTCAAATGACCTGAAAAATACGATTCATTGTATTGTTGTATTGTATTCAAGATAGTGTTGATATATTTTGTGTATTGTATACATAATTGTATATCATTAATGTCATCTCTATACGGTTTGCAAGCATAATAAAAAAATGAAATAAAAAAAACTTCAAAGCATAACTTAAAAATTATTTAAACCTGTAATATTAGAATAACTTAAGACGCTATATCATGTTAACTGAAATCCTGTAATATTAGAATAACTTAAGGCGCTATATCATGTTAACTGAAATCCTATTTCTTGTTTTCACTTGTTCCCTCAACAAGTTCAATAATTTTATTAACAAACAGTTTTTGTTGTAAAAAAAAACTTTTATTGACCTGTTTAGCATAGCAGCACCTTCAGTTTAGAATGTTTATTTTTCTCTGATGGGAGAATTTGTCAAAGTTAATAAAATACTTGGAAACATTCAAATAAGCGTAATGTTTAAAATCCATAATGCATAATTAATAAAGTTCATGCTTGCATATAACATTAAACCTTATGACAGAGGGTTAAGACATCAGTGAACACTACACATGATCCACCATTCTTCTTATTCAGTAAAACCATGTACAAAAAAAACAATAGCATTGATCCCAAGCAGATGAACTTTTTTTGAAACAGGTGACATGTAAGCTGCAGGGAATTATCTTCTCAGAAGATACCGTTTCTTTTTTTGGTCATTTTTCCTCACAAACTTCCCATCTTCCACAAAGACTGCACAAATTCAACTTAAAGTGCAAAAATCCCTAGTTGACCAATCATGCCTACCTGACAGACCTGAAGCATTACAAAATTGGACACAAAATGGAGGAAAAACTAAAACTCGTTTAAAATCTAACAAAACACGTTTTCTTTTCATTAGTCTTCAAAATCTGAAGTAAAACATACATAAAACACACTAAAATATGAGTGTTGTGAATGGAAGTTAGTGATTCTTCTTTTGACATGGTTACTTGCTTCAGGATTTGGTTTCTCAGTAGCTTATATGAACTATATGAATAAAGTCTGACTATCCAGCATGAATGTACAGATTGCATTGTAATAGGATCACGAATGTCAGCAAACACATACAGTAGTCTTCCCATGCGGCTGAAGCAGCGTCTGGACATTTTCAGACTGTTTTTGACCATTACTTCCGCCGTCGCTCCTCGCAGAGGACTGTATGCTAGGTTTCTGTGAGGATGTACATGAGGACTCATGTAAAGGGGACTGGGACAAACTACGACGGGGTTTCTTCAGCACAGGCGAGGAGGAATCCTCTAGCATCCGTTTGCCTGTAGGCACTCTATCACAATTGGCCTCATTTTCCAGTGAGTCATTACAAGGCAGGTCCTCACAGCTTGTAAGGCTTTCAGGAGATGATTCAAATATTGCGCTTGTATCACAGCTGCCATTTTTCTTCTCTGGGATGTGCTGTCCTTGAGTTTCAGGAACCTAAAAAAGAAGGAACTACATATGAAGCTTGAGTGTGGGGTTATTTTTCATCTTAATCTACACAGCTGTTGTATTGTCAATTAGAAAATCATAAACGTTCCTAACCTGAGTTGGCAAAGAGTCAGTGCAAGATTCGGGAACAGAGCCACACTTTGGTCCCTGTAGATTATACACAATCTCATAAGGTGGCAAGCACTCACTGGATGTCCCGAACGGCTCCAAACAGATAACAATGGCACTGGTATTATCAGCACGGAGCATGCGTTGACGCCATCTCAGTAAGGCATGTTTCACAAGCAGAACAGCATTTGAAACATTTTCCTTTTGGTTCTTCGCCTGTTGGAATAAACATTCAGGTAAGCGAACGTTTTAAAAGACGATTACAACCTTAGTTGAAGCATCAATTTACATTATTCACCTTGGCATTGTCATTGTCCTGACAAATAGACACAGCCTCCTGCGGTGATACCATGTTCCATAACCCATCACTGCCTAAGATGATGTAACGGTGCTGCTTCAAATCTAGCTTGATAACAGCAGTATCAGGCTCTGGTGACACTACAAACTCTCCGCTGTAGAAGTCGTAACTCCACAGATCACCTGGAGACATGTACATTACATTACTGGATATGAACAACAACAACAAAAACTGATGTAAATATCAGTTGCATTTGGACACATTTATTCAGTTAAAAGGACAGTTCACCTAAAAATTCTGTCATTAATGACTCACCCTCATGTCATTCCAAACCCGTAAGACTTTTGTTCATCTTCGGAACACAAATGAAGATCTTCTTACTGAAATCTGAGCTTGAGTTTGAGCTTCTGCATAAGGTTTGTTCTCACGCGTTAAGCAAGTTTGGTTAAGCTTCTGCTTATGTTCGCTGATCAGCATTTATGTGAATAAAAGCCTAAATTAAATCTGTTCATCACATAAAGCGATGAAGTCTCTTCAGAAAATTTGGACTAAACTGCTCAATTCATATGGATTAGTTTTACAATCTCTTTATGAACCTTTTGAAGCGTCAAAGTGGTAGTTGCATAGACTGTCAATGGAGGAACAGAAAGCTCTTAGATTTCATAAAAAAGATCTTCGAAAGATGAACCAAAGTCTTACTGGTTTGGAACAACATGAGGGTGAGTAATTAATGACATCCCCCATCTTTTGGGTGAACTATCCCTTTAAGTTTTGATTTGCATTATAAGGTCTATAATAGGTAGGTCTAACAGTAGTATTATTCAGGTAAGAAATACTACACAAATTAAATAATCAACTGTAAAATAACATATTCTTTACTGTATAAATTAAATATCGATTAGTCCTTCCTTATTAAAGCTAAAAGTTATTCAGCTAAGAGCAGTGAGTGATTCTCTTTTTCTTTTGTTGTTTGATTAACATTAAGAACAGAGACAGCAGCAGGTATATTAGGCTCCTGTCACTTTAAAACCTAATGCCGGGATCTAATATATTGAGATTTAATTTTTTCCCAACTGTTCACGGACATGTTGATGATACAATTGTGTTTGTATTTGTCCATTCAAGTGCGTTATGATGACAACTCCATTAACTGTCCAGAGCATCATTCACATTTGATGATTTCAAAGATGTGAACTGACAACCTTGCTAAACCTCTAATCAGCCAGTGTTGCAATTCCACATTCTGTTTGTTGTTGCTAAAGAACAGTTTATCATGGTGGCATGTTGCAATTTGTAGGACAGTGCACAGTCTCTGCTGACTTGTCAGATGCATTGAAACTCAACATTGTCACTGTTTTTCCAAAGATGACCTCAACGATGACAAAATAGCTTAACCCTCATGTGCACCTTACCAAGAGCTCGGGCCACAGCCAAAAATGGGATCTGATCGATGACGGTGCTCCTTCTCACTGGCCCATTGTGGGTGAGTCTGGGTCTCTTCCACACGACCCTATTGACTCCAGACTTTTTAATGACACTAGAAGAGAGATGTGACAATGATCAGTTGTGGATCTCATCATAGTTTAAGTTTAATATACAAAAAAAAAATGCTGACCAAAAATATCCATACCTCGCTCTACCCAAAACTAAGCCTGACCTAAAATAAATTTGTTCACTTTAGTTTAAACATTACCCTAAGCCATTACTTTTAAAAAAGGAGGAAGACATTAATATTGAATGTTGGTCTATATCGTGTTGATATGCTTAAGTTATTTTAGCCTAAAAGACAAAGAAAGCTGGTGATTAGATTATGTAAATGAGAACAAATGTGAGAGCGTGTCTGGTAATGTTGTCCCATTTTTAAAGCTCTGGGTGCACAAACAAAAACCAGTCTGACCACTGCAGACACACATGGTTGAAGTTTGTGTTTTCCTGATGAGTGTTGACATAAAACAAAAGGACAATGATGGTTGCATGTTAAGGTTAACCCAAAAAGAGCAAAAGATGATAGTCTACCATCAAATCACAAAATAATCTATTCCATCTTTGTGGCTAACACACACCTCCACATCTTTTATCAAAAGCAAAAGGTTCCAAAAGTGTGTGAATACAGTTTGTTCAGATTAGTTGTGTGTGACTAACTGTTTGAATGAACAAATCACCTGCCACCGAGACCCTCTATTCTCTGCCTTTCCTTTGGGAGGTCAGGTTTGTGGTCCTGCGTAATTTCCACCGCTCCAATCAACTCGTCAAAGGGGTCATCGTGCACCCCCAACACTACTGCTGAGTCCCCAACGTGGGCAACATACATTCGGTCACGTCGTATTACGACGATACTTGCAGTTGTGCCTGATGTGCTAGGAAGTCCTGTAACCGTCTTTGGCCATTCCGCTATAAGAAAGCAGATTATATTTATCAAAACAGATCAGTGATGACTAAACCATTCTGTTTAAAATAGATGCACAAATGACGATTTTGTTGTAGATGTGGAAGAAAAAAAGAATTAAGTCCAAGCTTGCGTTGTTTTTCCCTCTTCACGATGACTCGCTTAATTTAGTCCTAATTTTTTTAAGTCGCTTTGGATAAAAGCATCTGCTAAATGACTAAATGTATTTTAATGCAACGGCAAGTGCATGGAGTCCAGGAACAGCCATGCTAGACATTCAGCTTCAACTCTTCATGTTCCATGTAAGAAAACCACTCAGGTTTGGAATGATGAGGGTGAATAAATTAGGAACATTTCTGGTTGAATTATCCTTTTAATGCAGAATCAATTAGATATTAATCAATTTTACAATTGGTCAAATGAATTAAGGTCATATAATCACTCTGAACTTAAAGGGATAGTTCACCTAAAAATGAAAATGCTTCATCATCATTTACTGACCCTCAAGTTGTTCCAAACCTGTATGAATTTCTTTCTTCTGCCAAACACACAATTTTTTTTTTTTTTTTTTTGGAAGAATATGGGTAACCAAACAGTTGACTGTGAAAAAAAATACTATGGAAGTCAATGGGGGAGAATTTTCATTTTTGGGCAAACGTTTTTTCCCCTTTAACTTGGCTCCATTACTATGTTGTGTATTTAATACATACTGTGTTGTCCGACTCCTTATATTGTTTGGTTTTCGTGTTCTTTTGCCATTGCATGACACGCTAGCCACGTGTTGTCAACTTGCGGCGCAATGAGGGCATTTAGGTTTTTTTTAAACTGATACAATTACAGTATTCATGTGAATGTACATAATTTACATCAAAGTATATTTCTTAAAACATCTGTTCATTTCTTTGAGTAAAAACGTTTCAATTAGCAGAAAAATGCTAAGTGTGCATCTAGAAAACTAACTCAGCTTGCAAGTGTCAGGAGTGTTGAACTGTGATTTCTGCCTGTAAGCATGATACTATCTGATGTGCTGCCACTTAAGTTCAGATGTTTAGAAATTGTTCGGTGTGACCTGCAGGGGTTGTGCAACTTATTTTGGCGGGATGCATCTGCCGTTGCAGCCCTCGTTCAAAATGTGCTCCGACTCTCTCCCTTGCAATGCACGTCCAAAATGGCAGAGACTTAACCCAGCAGCGTTAAACGAGAACATTATGTATATACGTAACGTTCAATTTCACAACTTACGTAATTTCTTCCACATGGCATGGTGACAAGAGATGAATCCCTTTCGCAAAGCCGCGCACACCTCGTCGTCGTCATCAGACCAAAAGCCTCTTTGTTTTTTGATGTGGCCCCACAAATGGTCGCGAGCAAAGCGCGCGGCGTCCGGACCCCCGTGTCCGTCGAACACGGCGAACATAGACACAGCCCGCGGACCACGGGTGTGTTTGGACGAGCGAGACGAGGTGGGCATCGACGCCTGCTGAAGAGTAGAGCTAGGATCATCATCTTGAATATAGGTAACAGTGATAGATCCAGGAATGGAGTCTTGGATTGAGGCGTCGTGGTTTTGGTCTTTTGCTGGTGCCGCGATCTCGCCACGTTCAGCGGCGTCCAGTTCATCCTCACTCGGCTCATCCTCCTGCTTCATTGTCACTAAATCCTCCATGTATTTCCTACCGCCTTGGTCATAATAAATACTGGCTCGACATGAAAATGTCACATCCATGTTTTGATCAGGTAGAAATGCCGATAGAAGAGCAGCGTTTAATGTTTTAAGCAGGACTCAGGCCGGGTGGTGCGCGTTTTCCTCTTTGTTTACCTTCGATGTTGTGGGCATGCGCAGAGCCACCATGGTAATTCACGGGTCACTGGAAGTCTTTATTTGACCTTTGGTTTGACGAAGAAGAGCCATTGAGATTGCTATAACATAAAAAAGTATATAGTAAAGGCAAACATGAAACGCATATAATCACACACATCTTTTAATGAAATATTAATTTAATTTCTTCCAGCGCCTGTATTGCAGTAGTTTTGACATGGGACATTTTGTATTGACTTTCCAGTCTGTCCCATGACTCCCATGTGGGTTGGGATGAGTAAGGGCTGCACACACACACACGTGTTTAATAAGTATTTGTAGATAGATGGATGGATGGATAAATAGATAGATCTGCTTTGGGAATCCTTGCTGTTTCCAGCAGATGGAGCTGTAAGCCTAAAAGACTCAGTACCATGATCTGCTTATACAACCCATTTTTTCATATTTTATGTTTCTATATTCACAATTTCATATTTAGAATGTTTGCAAATTGCAAACTTTATTGCTGCGATTGTAATTTTTATGTAATTAATGCCGCGTTCCAGGCAACCTGTAACCCGTGTTTTTCCAACTCGTAACTGGGAGTACATCGTTCCAGGCAACCTGTAACCCGTGTTTTTCCAACCTTATACCCGTGAAAGTGCACTGGAACGGCAGTCAAACCCGTGACTTCCCACCCGTGAATTCGTACTAGATCGATGTACTCCCAGTTACGAGTTGAAAAAACACGGGTTACAGGTTGCCTGGAAAGCGGCATAATTCTGTCCAATGACCTTCACATTTCCGGGTCTCCCAAAAGCGGAAGTCGTCATAGTTGGGTAAACTTCTATAGAGGGTATGCGCATGACGTCACCGTCGGCCGGAGTGAATGCGGTCACGCCCACAAGTGGCAAAAAGACTGAGCGGCAGCATTTGTTTTCAGCGTGAACGCCGTGAAAATCACACAAAACACATCTAAAACGGGAAAGAGCTTTGCGATTGACTGTACAACTAGATTTGACCAGAAATCTGAGGTACTGTATATTTTTACAGACTGCAAAAAGCTACAGAACAGACTATATTCTGCATAATTGGATGTTTTTAAAATAAACACTGACAAAAAACTATACAAGTTTTAGGGCTGGACGATATGATGATATACAGTATAACATTAATGTAAGTGATCACTCGGATTTAGACCTATCTATATTGTATTTATATAAAACGTTTACAGGCAAATTGTCTTCATTTATTTCCCCGGCGTCGAAATCAGGCACATATAAATGTCAGGAAACACGATTCCTGGCTGCTTGTCAATATCCATGGATCACTGGATCTTTGATAAGTTGTAAGGAACACTATATCGAGTCCAACTTTTAGTTTAAACTGATAATAGTTTGTTTTACTCGCGTTAACGCAGTTTCCCCTATTAACTCCAGTCACGCAGCAGCTCTTCTGCCACTCAGTCCCGCTGAGGGGGGCGTGTTCCGGCGGGGAAGTGACGTTAATGCATTCCCTCTATAGCGGTGAATGAGACTACATTAAATATATTTTATTTTGTGTTCCCATTTGCTCAGATAGCAAAAGAAAAACTCTACATTTGTGTTTTCATAACTTTCAAAAAGAGTTAAAAAAAAATAGAGAGAGATTGATAACAGTCAGAAGAGAGAACGATGTAAACTTTACCTTCACTTCCACAGCCACTGTATTTGAAACACCCTCACAGGTGTTTACTAGTTTTTTGTAATTTGATGCAAAGGTATAGTAATAAGTATAGTGTTATAAATTAATGTTTGAATGTACATCAATTTTTTTAATGAAAATTATAATTTTTTAAATCTAGAATTTACGATGCTGATGGTCAGCTTTGAAAAATATGCTTTGCAGCTAAAAATAAGACTTTATAGTAAGTAATTGTCAGTGTAGATTTATTTGATTAATTATACCCTTTTTCATGCTTTTCTCTACCAGCTGTAGCAAATCAAATCGGACAGTAAAAAAAAGGTCACATCCCACACTAAATGACTTTTATTTTGCAATTCCGACTCTTTTGAGGCTCACATCATCTGGAAGTGGAAGCTAATGTTAACGGAAGTAGATTGAGTAACTTAGTCGCTCTCCGTTGATCGAGTGCACTATACAAGCCACTTTTAGGGGCGCTGCACTTGCCAGAGGTAAAACAATGCGAATTTGTAAAGGTCTTATGCATGGATGTATAGTGTGTCTGTATGTAATTTTCATTTGCCTTTTTGTTTTACTGAACAAATAAAAAACGACTTGAGCATGGCTCCTGAATAGGGCACATAGTCACTTGGCGGCTTCTCTGATGATATTGATACATTGTGATAGTCCACACATTTAATTCAGATACATTGTTTACTGTAAACGCTCTGCCATTGTATACAGACGTTTAGCTCTTATGTTCGTAGTGTTGTGTTCTCACTAATACGCTTATGAAGGGATTTATATAGTCTGTGTTCATAAGAGGGTTTATGATGATGTCAACCTCTCCAAATATTGTGTGATTTGAATGGGGTCGTGATCACGCATGCTATTACATTTGTAAAAAAAATAAAAATAATAATTGTTGGCGCCATTGCATCATCTCATTTTGGTCTCTTCCCGTTTAGGTATAGGAGTCTCTTCAGCTATCTACCTTTTGTTTTAGGACAGGCTTCCAGCCATGGTGAGGCTCAATATCATCACTCTATCATACAAGATGTTCTTGAAATGTTTCTTGGTCACCAAATCAGCATATTAGAATGATTTCTGAAGGATCATGTGACACTTGCCATCACAAGAATAACACACACACACACATATATATATATATACATATAAATTAATTATGTTTGTATTATTATATGAATTGATTATATAATTATATTTGATGTTAAACAATCAATAATATGCTAATTCCTGGACAAATTATTCCCAGTAGCAGATCTGGTCTAAATATGTTGAACATATCGACCCAGTGTTTTAACACTGTAACGAAGAAAAACTTAATCACATTGTTGATTCCTGTCTCGTGTATTGGCTGCAGTTGTGTGACATTTCTCTCTTCCCTTTTGGTCAGTCTGCTGTGGTGGATCTAAAAACAAAGGAGGAGAAAGATGCTGAGCTAGACAAAAGGATTGAAGCTCTAAGGAAGAAGAATGAGGCTTTGGTCAAGAGATATCAGGTGAATTTGGATGCTGAAATTTGATAGTCTGCTGCCACTCTGCCAATTCGTTTATTTTGTGTACTTATAATCATTTATTTTGACTTGAATTGGCTGTGGTTGTTATTCATTGTACTTAACATTCAGCCCTTGATATGCTCAGATTCAAAGCTTTTTACTTGATCAGATTTTATTAATTCATTTAGTTTACTTTTCTTTCTCTTGTTTCACCAGGAAATACAGGAAGATAAGAAAAAGGCTGAACAGGAGGGTATCGCTGTGACAACAACTCGCAAAGCCCGCCCTCATGAGCCTGAGTCGGAACGGAGAAAGACGGAGAAGGAGAACTTCTCAGTGACCGTCGACTTGTCTAAACCAGCTGGGGTAAAGACAGATGGCAGAATGATTTCATAGAATGACCATTTACCACAATGTGCCATGGTTAAATATATTACATTATCATTGATTCTGCAAAAAAAACGGAATGTGTGCAGAATCAGATGCGATCTCTCGTGCATTTTGCCTAATTTGTTATCTGATATAAACTCATGAGAGATACTGTATCAGAACTTCTGTTTATTTAGATGACCTGTTTCATTAACTGAATTGTAGGAAATAACTATATTGATACCGATGTCAATGTAATATTGTCAAATCAAGTCACCTTTATTTATATAGTGCTTTATACAATATAGATTGTTTTCAAGCAGCTTTACAGTGATAACAGGAAAATAATGCATTTTTGCTGTTCAGCTGAAGTCGGTTCAGTGTTAAATCAGTTCCCTTGTAAAGATCATTAATTATTAAATTTGTTTATTTCATCTATAAAGCAGTTCTGCAAAAATGTCATTGTTCAGCTCAGTTCAGTTCTCACACAGTGTCAGTACAGTCAGATCAATAATAGTGTTGAATATTAAGTGTTGTGTATGTTGAATATTAAGTATTGTGAAAAAAAGAATTACTTCTTGGTGTGGTATATTGACAAAAAAGGTCAAAAAAGTGTAATTTAGATGTACTTAGACTGTTTAATACAGATCAGAGGAGGTGGCATGAATGCATTTACACTGCAATTACATTTCCATAAATAATACTATGATAATTTGCATATGTAAATATGAAATGATTAAAACAAAAACTTAAAATATACAACTAAAAGCACCAGTAGGTGACTGCAAGTCACCATCTTAAAGAGTGAGTCATTGAGTCATTTAATCAACCAGGTCATTTAAACAGCTGATTCATTGAATCACTGACTCACCCGATTCGTTCTAAAAAAGTGGATTTATTTTCGACATAGATGATACATATTGCACACCCCTACAAAGAACTGTGATATATCTTCAAAGCCCTAAAGTCCTTAGTTTGTCAGATAGATGGCTATTTAAAACTAAAATATTAATATGGGAACTGGATACGTGAGTATGTATTGGATAAGTACCCATGTTTCTTAATTCAAGTTTGATTTTGAAGACTGCTAATGATTTGCATCAGCTTTAATAGTGAACAAGAACCTTTAAAAGTTAATCTCCACTCCCATTCCTCACAGCTTTTAATTTCCCACCTGGGGAAGGCTGAGACTAGCTGTAGAGCATTTTAATCAATACCTGTAGAGTTTCAGTGGATCACAGATGGCCCATGCAGCTGTGATTGAGCCTCCTATCGTGGTCTGTCAAGGTCATGACTCATGCCTTTCAATAATTGAAATAAATCTAAAATATAAATATTAGACTTTAAAAACTTTAGAAATTGTGAAAAATTAGAAATGGTGTCTTGGCAACTACCTGACAAAAGTTTAAAGGGATAGTTCACTTTGAAATTAATTTTTGATATGTTTTAGCTTACCTCAAGGGCATCCAAGATGTAGGTGTCTTTGTTTCCGCAGTAGTTTCAATTTTGATATTATTAGGTTAAACCGTTCTTGTCTGTCAGTGATATAATGCAGGCCTATGGTCACTTCCTCAAAGAGCATGCGCAGAGAAGTCCAAATTAAAGATGATTTAATGACTCGTAAATGTAAGTACACATTGATGGCCTAAGACACGAAACGAGCGGTTTGTGTGAGAAAACGAACAGTATTTATATCGTTTTTACCTCTTGTAACGCACAGACCGAAGCGCCTGCGCCCTCAGATCACTTGGACGTGGCCGAAAAAACAGGTCATGAGCTTTTTCCTCATGGACTAAAATCCACAAAAATTTTACACTGCTTTTCTAGGATAAGCATGTGGTGAATGACAGGAAACCAGCTGGTAATCGTGGTGACCAGGGTCCAGAAGAAGAGGAGTCTGCTTGGCCTCGCTGTGAGAGCCCCCCCAACAGAACCGGATCAGGCCGGCTGAGCAGAGGTGGCCACCGTGGGGGAAGAAGAGAGCCTCGTCCAAACAAAGCGGAACCGTGGCCAGAAAGGCAACCTCAGGATGGTGAAGGTGGAGAGGGTCCTCCCCGTATTGAACACTCCTTTAGAGCAGGGCGGAGAGGAGGAAGAGGAGGAACGCAAGGAGGAGGCAGAGGAGGAACGCAAGGAGGATTAGGCTCAGACAGGAAATCAAAGGTTACTATTGACATGTTCTATATCATTTTGTGGTTGAGATATTGTAGAACATTGTTGTAATACATTCACTTACAAAGTCATTTGGAGGTGTGCAAAATGTATAGAAAGGAGAATGCAAGTCCCGTACTGCTGTTGCTTGCAAAATTCATTATTTATACACAGCGGTGCTTCTTCAAGCATATATTATATCGTTGTAAGAGGAAACATTGCTGTTTAAATAAATATAAGGAATTTTCCAGCACTGAGTATTCTTTTATGAATGTTCTTTTTGAATATTTTAGATCTTTGAAAACAGTAACAAAGATTTAGTATCTAGACAGAAGCATCACAATCTACAAGCATTTTTTTATGAGTTGATATCCCGTTGATATCCAATTTCTCCTCTTCAGGAGTGGGAGGAGAAAAGAAGACAGAACATAGAGAAGATGAATGAGGAGATGGAAAAGATTGCTGAATATGAGAGAGGTCAAAAGGTATGTTTCGATACACTCACCGTTTTACTATTAATGTAGCAGCCATTATCTATTTGATATATTCACACACATTTATCTTTTGCAGGCTGAGGGAGAGAAAAACCCCATCAGGAACTTCCTTGATGACCCTCGGCGCAGTGGGCCAATCCCAGACATTGACCGCAAGGAGGGAAGCCGACGACATGTGCGCAACTGGGGTGGAGTTGACTTTGACAATGTGAAGACTGGTGGAGAGGTTGAGAAAGAATGGACGGTACTGAACATTTTAATTTCTTAGGTTTAGCTTAATACATAAGACACATACAATACCGTTTAAAGATTTGGGGTCAGTAAGACCCCACTAATACTTTTATTTAGTAAGGATGCATTAAACTGATCAAAAGTGACCGTTAAGACTGTTTGTACAACATTCCTACAAAAAGATCTTTTGAACTTTCTCAAAACATCCTAAAAAAAAAAATCACGGTTTCCACAAAAACATTAAGCAGCACAACTGTTTTCAACATTTATAATAAGAAATGTTTCTTGGGAACCAAATCAGCATATTACAATAATTGTATTATTTATTTTATTATTTTTATAAAAAAGAAAATACATTTTAAAATATAAACATTTTAGGAAAAGATTAGTTTTAATCGTAATAATATGACTGTTTTCACTGTATTTCATCAAATTATTAAAGCATAAGAAACTTCATTCAAAAACATTTAAAAAATCTACCAATTTTTTTAACAGTAGTGTATAGAGACCAGAATATCAATTATACAGCACCCAAAACATACTCCGACCCCTTTAGCAACTGCATAGAAACACCCTGGCAACTACCTACAATACCCTAACATTATGAAGGGTTTTCATTTTCTTCAGAAACTGTCTCACTGGGTTTTGTTTTTCTTTTTTCTTGTCAAACTCTCCTTCTCTTTTTCAATCTCATAGCAGAATCGTAGGCCAAGTGGTAGAGGCTCAGTGGATATGACATTATCCATGACGGGTAGAGAAAGAGCGGAGTATCTCCGCTGGAAAAAGGAGCGAGAGCAGATTGATGAAGAACGGCTGGCTCGTCACCGTAACGCCACCGGCCAGTGGAAACGAGAGTGGGATGCGCAGAAAACCGATACAATGTGAGTGTCAAAGGCATAAATGCTGACTATTATATCTATGAATATGCTATAGAGTCATTGAACTCTTAAAGGGCCGGTTCACTCAAATTTTATTCCTGTCGTTTTACTCCCCTTCATTTTGTTCCAATCCCATATGTCTTACTTTCTTCTGTTGAACACAAAAGAAGAAATGAATGCTGCACATTCACTATATGGTGAAAAGAGACCAGTGCATTCTTTAACATTTCTCCTTTTTGTATTCATCTGAAGATTGTCATTCAGGTTTGGAATGATATTTTGGGATGAATTATCCCTTTAATTTCAGCTCTGACAATTTTATTTCTGTCAAACTGTTAAAAAGAGAGAGAGAGAACGACTCTGGATAGGAGTAATGCATGCTGACTGGGTGAGAATAAGACAGCCAGTGACCCTGAGGTGTTTTCACAGGTTCAAGGAGGACTCATCTGTGGCCGGAGAGGGCACACAAGAACAAAGCAACAGGAGAGGTAAATCTCACACACACACACACACACACACACACACACACACACACACACACACACACACACACACACACACATACACACTGACCACCTGACACCTGGTCTGCAAATGCCATGAATGTCACCATGTTTTTTGGAGTGTCTTATATTTTATACAGCCAATCAATAGTCTGTCATACATCAACAGTATAGAGTAGTTACATGTACACATTTATGACATTTTTGCTTTGTGAAACTTGTCTTTTTGGCTGTTTGGTGATGTTCTGTGCTGTGGTCTCTCAGCAGCTAGGGGGCGCAATGCCCATGTACAGCAACGCACTGGACCTTCAGGTCAGCTTAAGGCATGTGTGTGTGTGTGTGTGTGTGTGTGTGTGTGTGTGTGTGTGTGTGTGTGTGTGTGTGTGTGTGTGTGTGTGTGTGTGTGTGTGTGTGTGTGTGTGTGTGTGTGTGTGTGTGTGTGTGTGTGTGTGTGTGTGTGTGTGTGTCTTTACCCTTCTTCACATTGGCCCTAGTCTGAGTGCAACCAAACAGCTGTTCCTGCACTGATAGCTTCTAATTGCATTCCATTCCTTCATAATAAATTATAATGGGTGGGTGTGTATCTTATTGGATTATCTCATGATGCAGCTCTCTGGATAGCTCTGTTAGGGGGTAACAGCTTAAGGACCCAGAACCAGATATGATGAAAGAAGACCAGTAGTCGTGAGGTTCAATCAAATAGATAAAAATTTACTGAAGAATAGTTTGCAGTTTCATCGGTACAGCTAGCGTCAAAGTCTCACGAGGAGGTCGAAAGCCAACTCTACCTTACACAAAATCTTACACCAATTATACCATTTTGCAAGGGCATACATTACATCATTGTTACTCCTGATTGGTTAAGAGAACATAGTCTAAAGTTTGCACATATGGATAGATATGGGGGTATATCGCCATTAGTCAAGATAGTTGTCGTCCGATTGCTAGATTTAGGTCTGTGGTGACCTCGCAGGTTGAAGAAAGGCGTCTGTGGGTCTGTATGTGGTATATCACGATGTCCAGAACCTACACAGAATGTCAAACACACACACAAAGCACTAACGAAAAACAAGGCTGAAGAGAGCTTGAGCTCCTTATTATCAGTACAGTCGACCAAAACGGGCTGATAAATCAGGAAGAGGTGCAGATAATATACACCTTGCTCCCTAGAGAAATACATTTTGTAAATCAGGTGGAGTCACGTATAGTTGGACCCCTGTAACCTTAACTCGTCAGCTAGAAACCGATATATCGATGTGACACATGTTGAGCAGCTGGTTAACACAAGTATATTTTAATAACTCAAAGAATATAGAAATGATTATGTGACCATGCATATCTTGATTAGTAATTTTTATAGGAATAATGTAAGCACTCAAAAGGATATATATTGAAGAGACAAGGGATTCTGACCCCACCCCTTTTCAGCTCATAATTGCTTTCTGCCAGTTGCATAGCCATCATTACAAACTTGCTTCCCAGTCATTTTGCTGAGCAGAAAACATGCACCCAGCCACTCCTTGTGTTCTTGACTTGATTGAGCTTTTCTTCTTTAAAAACACAGTAAAAGCTGAGATTATTCTGTCATATAATATCATTAATGTAAGTAGCAATGAAGTGTTCCTATAAATGAACTATTAATTTAACAATATTCTAGGTTTGATTAATGTAAAAATGCATTGATAACTCAAATTCACTTACAAAATATAAGACCGTAAAATATCCTAAAAAGTACCATTAAAAAAAAACGTATGATTTGTGGAGGTCTTTAATTTGTGGACGGAAAGACAGGAGATGCTTCAGGCCTCAACAGTAAGAATTTGTTTGTCCTGCCTGCCTGATCAGGCCTGTAGTTTCCTGTGTTTTTTTAATGGCCCCAACATTTTACACTTTTTATATTTATATATTTTTACAGGTGTTATTAATGCTCATTTAATATTTATTATTACACTATTTAAACATTATACATTTAGTTTTGGCTTTTTGTTATTATAGAATTGGTCTTAAATGTTTAACATTTGCAGTTAAAACTCTTACATTTCTTTAACTTAAACACACTCTTAACAATTTGGAGATACCATGTAGGCCCTGCATCCTCTGGAGATATTTTAAATGAGGCCATCTGCACAACACCTAAAATAAAATGTTGTATTATTTTTTTATGTGTGTGTGTGTATATATACACACACACACTTTGGAACTGGAGCTATTAATATGGTTAGTTCAGTAAAACATGTACATTCAGCAAAACAAATTGTCCAAAACAACTTTATATATTTTAACTTTTAACTTTAACCAATTGGCTTATACTAGGGGTGTCACAATTCTCCAAATCCTCGATTCGATTAAATTTTCGATTCTAAGGTCACGGTTCGATTCGATTCTCGATTTTTACATTTATTTTTTTTAAAGCCGAAACCGGCCAATCAGGATGCTCTCTGTCTTACATGCGCTTCATGAGGCACATACACAAGGTCTCTCGCTCTCTCCCTCTCTGCCGTGCTCGCGCTATATGGTTTTAACTTTGGAGCACAGTTTTTCCTGTCTCGCATGCGCGCTCTTGCTCGCTCACTCTAGATTCCGGGAGATTTTAACTAATTTGCGTGCATCAGGGAGCCGCTATCAATATGCGGGAGACTCCCGGAACTTCCGTGAGACTTGGGATGTCTGCAAAGTAAACTGTGGCTTTTTTGAAGCCCGAACGTTGTCAACATAACTCACTGGAAATCCAAAAAACGTACACACCTGCGACTTCAATGAAAGAGGAGGGGGTTCAAGTTCTGTCGATGGGTATCCTGCATCTGCAGTCGCCATGCTATCTTTTGAATGGCTGTAGCTAAGTTAGAGGAGGTTGACCATAGACTCGCAGCTTTTCAACACGACTGTTTTTTCCCGCTTGGCACGCCGACCGGACGTGACATGGGGCGTGGCAGCATCGACGATTCCATTTTTTAATTCGAAGTTCGAGATTGTGAATTAATTTCGGTCGATTTCGATTTATATTCGAAATCGTGACACCCTTAGCTTATACTCAAGCTACATTTCCCCTTCTGAGGCACAGTCTTCTAACTTACATCACTCTTGCCCTAACATTGTCATTCTCACACTGTCTCCTGAATATTGACATTCAAAAGCTGTCACTCAAAACATACCAAAAGTACCTCTTTTGCACTGAAGAAAGTCTTGCTGCTTCTGACACGTGCTCGTTTGCTGATATCTTGGTTTTGAGTGCTTCACAATCCCAGTATCTACCTCACAACATTCAAGTCAAGTCAAGTCTCGTCACAGTGCTGTCAAATCAAGGGCACATTTGCATGCATTTCTCATCCGTTCCCCTCCTCTTATCCTGAAAAGTGATGCATAGAGCGTCAATCCAGAATGACAGGTGGCCATCTGTTACTGTGTGCCTAGGGTCATCTCTCTCCACAACAGATTTCATATGCAGAATTGTTTTGTAAGGTCTTGCTTGGCCCCATGACACCCTTCAAGGATAAATATTGCTCTAATCTCTGTTATGCAGAAGACAGCAAGAGGCCGCCCAAGACACCAACCTTTGGCGAGTTCTTGGGCCAGGGCAAACCCAGACAGGGAGGCCGTGGACGAGGGATGGGCCGCGGTCAGGGCAAAAGCTACAGGTATGCAATAGTTCTCCTCATTGTGGAGAGTAATACTTTTTTTTTGGATGGCACTAGCATGTCCAGTCCTTCTCCTGGAGATCCAGTATCCTGCAGAGTTCAGCTCCAATCCTAATTAAACTAATCAAGCTAATCAAGGTATTCAGGATTACTAGAAAGTGTTCTGGGGCAAGTTGAAGCTAAACTCTGCAGAACATTGGGCATCCAGGAACAGGATTGGACACCTCTGTCCAGTCCTAGATCATGCCCTAAACTGTACAGTCCACACTCAAGTAGAAGTTCGTTGTTGAAAAGTACACATCAAGAAATATGCTCATTAACACAATTTTGAAACTTAAAATGACAAGTCAGACACCAAGTGCCCCTCGAGTCCACCATTTGGGACAGGGCCACTAGGCTTTAGTTATGTCATCTAAATTATGGCCCAGTTTCCACCTGATATTAAGATGCATTTTCAGTGATCCGATTCCAATCACAAGTGTCCAGCTGAGACTCCTTTCCGCTTGGTATTAACGTGTTTCGGTTGTGTCTTCTGTTTTTGGAGACTCAAATACTTTTGACGGAATGAACCCATGTTACGCAGCTTATGAGCGAGTAGGAAAGGAAGTGAATAAAAAGGATGTGGAAGGAAGTTGTGATTTCCACTGTAATCCATGTGTTTGGTACAATGCAGTGAAGTTTGAATCGATTGTTTTGGTGCGCTTTCGAATGGTCACGTGTTAGGTGGGTGGTCGACAAGCAGGCGGTGATTCAATGTGGTGTGGTACTGTGATCTGATCACTAAATGTTTTAGACACCCTCTCTTTAGCTTGACCACTTGTGATCGAATCACAAAAAAATGCATCTTAATTCCAGGTGGAAACAGGGCCTGTTATTTGCTACATGCAATTGCTATTTGGAGGCAGGCGGCATTGTGGGTAGAGAAATTATCGTTCTAGAGAGCATTTCCTGAATCAACATTCATTGAGCAACACGATTTTTCCTAAAGCATGCATGATAATCGGTGGGAAGGAGAAAATGAAGAGGAGAAAGGAAGAAAGGAGGAGCAAGAGAAGGAGACGGATGAAAAGGACAAAGGGAAAGAAAACGAGAGTGAGGACGGCACCCTCAAGGCTCCATTTTCAGACAAGGTGAGATGCCCGACAACACTTAATAGGTATAGAGTATTATGGTACCAAGAGTTCTTTTGAATGAAAGTTGATTTTAATTAGTCTGTTTCATTTATTCCTGACCTTCTCCTGCTGTGCAGAAGAGTGATGGAGGCCTTGCTGAAGAGGATGAAGATGAGTGGGAGGATGCCAGTGATGGTGAAGAGGAAAATGCGGAAGAAGATGAAAAAGCAGATCACGAGGATTACTCGAAAGATGCTAAACCAACAGAAAAGACCCCTTCCTCTCCTGCACCCTCAACTCCCAGCCCAAAAGAGAAACGTACCCCAAGACCCAAAGTCCACATACCTTCCCCGCAGGAGACGCTCAGTACACCAGAAGGGCCCAAACCCCTTAGCCCTTTCTCCCCACTGGACAGCCACCAGCCGGTGTCAGATTGGGGTGAAGAAATGGAGATGCATTCTCCTAAGAGCAGTCTGGGCGAGAGCCCTCTGAGGCCCAGCAGCACTGAAAGCAGTCCAGCCCAACAAAAGAGCAACCAGGCCGAACAGAACACCCCCAGCCAGCCAGAAGAACCAGAAAGAAACGAAAGTGCATCTACAGGTGAAATAATCATGGTCTTTATTTAGTACATCACAGTTTCTCTTTTTAGTGGTGCTTGTTAAGACAAAGCCTGGGGTATGTTTTGTTTTTCCACCTGTCATTACATCTCACACATGGTCAAGCATTCTAGTCTTTCAACTTAGACTCCATTGCCCATGAACTCATACAGACGGGTACCGTTGTGTTCTTCTAATCTTTCAGTCAAGTTGTACAATCGCTGGTACCTTTTGACCTCCTCGCATATTCATTGTTGTTGGCTAGATCTTCACATTCCGTTATTTTTATTTCCATTTTCCGATCTACTTTGACTAGTTCTTCCAAGACAGTAACAGCCCAGCCATTAGTGTTACCCCCAGTGCAGTGCTTGTCAAACCTGTCCTGGGGACCCCCACCATTGCACATTGCATTTTGTATGGCTGGTGAGTTGAATCGGGTGTGTTAGATGAGGGAGACATACAAAATGTGCAGTGCTGGGGGTCCTGCAGGACATGTTGGAGAAGCATGGCTCGAGGAGACCCAGTATTGTAGACAATTGCATGCATATGCTTGTGATTTGGGCTGAAAATACAAACTGAAAATGAAGCATATTTTAGGGTTCAAGTAACCACATCCATAGTAACACACTAAAAAGAACAACCACATAGCAAATATCTAACTAAAACTATTAAAAATTGTTTTTGTTAATTGAAATAAAGCTGAAGCCCACTGATTATCTTTTTTTATTTTTATGTTTTTTTTAGTATTGTCTGAGTTTCTGTGATGTCTTAGAAGTGAAACTTAAGTGTCTTTTCACATTCAGTGGTGGGGTCAACTTCCTGTGAAACACAAGAGTTGGTACCTGCTGAATCTGCCGACTGTACCACCTCGAGCAGCCATGACACAGCAGATTCCGAAGTGCCGCCCACCCCAGACAACACCAACCAGAGCAGTATGTCAAAACATTTCATTAACACACAAAGTTCAAAATATGATTTCCTCCCAATAAAGAATTAATTGTAATATCCTATATATCCTCTTGATGCAGAGGACAGCGACGTCCCTATTTTAGAACCGGGTCAGAGTGATTCTGAAACAAAGCCTGGGGAGGAAACGGCAGTGGATTCTTCAGAGCAACCGTCCTCAGGTGCTGTTCTTATTACCAGCTTTGAGACTGTGGCTTTTCGAAAGAAGTCCCTTACTTCGGCTGACTTCTAACAACTAATCAACGTCCTCCTTTTTTCAGTCTTTAGTCTTTCTGGTCTCTCTGTGTCTCTCCCTCCCTGTTCACTACACTCATGTCTCCTTTATGTCCCCATGTCCATCTGTTTATGGCATGAGATGGTGTCTGCTATCGGGCTTTGCTCTATTGACTTTGACATATGAGAATGCAGCTCCTCAGGCTGACAGTCCTTCCCTCCTCTGGGACCGACTGCTTCTGTCTGCAGCTTCACACTGGCTGTCATTTTCCACTGTGAACCTTGCACACCTCCTCCAGCACGACTAATATCCCACAATTACTGTGCTCCCGGATCCCCCTCATTGTCGTTCATGCACCTCTTTGATTTCGCACCTCTCCCTGGATGACGTGTTTGGATATGGGTTCTGGCTTTTTCCCTTTCCATGCATGCCACAAACTGCTTGAGCAAATAAACATTCTTTTGATTTTATTCCATTTTTGCAAAAGCATTTATAAATGTGTGAGCGTGTGGACTGTAAATGGGAATGATCTATAACATCATCCCAACAGGATCCCGTTTGATTATCATTGTGGGGGAAAGCTGTTTGGCATTTCTGCCAGAGCAGCTTGCAGAGATAAATTATACAGGGTAAACCAAATGTGGTTCCAGAGACTGTATGGCATCTTATTAGATTTCATGTCATTTTAATGTTTATCATGTGTGAATGTCTATCAAGCCACACAGAATGAATGTACTAAGTTCACCAGTGTGCAAATCAGGGTACTTTTTACAAATAATATCCATTCCTTATTCATATAGACTGTAAAATAATAAGTCGTCTGAAATGATCAAGGTTCCCACAGTCTTATAAAACATGGAAATAGCAAGACATTTTAAAATGATGCTTTTCAGGCATAGAAAAGTAATTAAATTTTAAAAATCATGGTAATTTGTGAGTAATCTTCTAGTTTTCTAGTGCTCCAAGTTATTTAATCGGCTAGACTTTAGTCTTTGAATAACAGTTTTGACTTGTTTGGGCCCAAAACACATTCAAATCAAATTTGTTTGTGTTCGTTTCTATCTGACATGCACTTAAATCCGCCCCAGTAATCTCAATAAAATACGTAATTATGTTGAAAGATTACTCATCCAGTAATTGTAAACAACTGTAAACATTGAAATTTATTGCTCAAAAGGAATGGGAACCCAGGATCACACTCAATTCCTGGTTTTATAACAGCAAAAATGAAACAGGATTTTGAAAAAACACAATTTGAAATATATATTTAGTTATTCAATATATATTTGAAAAACACAAATATAAATCTAGCTCAAAACAGTTTTGTTTTAATAAATCTAACCAGAAATTATGAAAGAAATGAAATTGGTGGCCTTTATACTCATGATGAGTTTTTTTTTTTTGAAGTCTGAAATTCTCTTTTTAATTCCCTCCATAAGGTGTCGTCACATTCACCGTTATTCAGTGAATTTTCGCAGTCATTTTAGCAGGAATCCACACAATCTGGAATTTTGCATTTTCTCACACAGATTTTGCAATGGGTTTAAATTGGTCACGCAAATTTGCAGCATTGACCAACAGAAAGCTTCTTGGTTTAATAGCTTTTGTGTGAGCGGTGCTTTATATCTCGCTAAACTATTGACAAAAGACAATGGAGCTTTTGTGCCTGCAAAATTGTACTGAAATTTCGCTAATGTGGCCGCGCCTCTGTGTCTGTAGGATGTTTTACTTTTTACACAAGTGATGAATTTGTAGTTTATACTCTTGACATTTGGCATGATGCTGGAATGGCAAATAAATGTTGTGCTGCTTGTCACTGATTGTCTTCCCTTTTCCTTTGAGCCAATTTGAATTGAGGAACCACTCCTTAGTGTTTTGTGAATGTTTGATGTCATATCCTCTCCAATGCCACCGGCTCAACCCTGTCACTTGGGATCACTGTCCTTCTCCACCTGCTCCTGCTTATTCTCATTACATCATACCAGTTTACTAACTGCTCATTAGCAACTAATGAGTGGATGTGATTTGTGGCCAATTCCCTCTTTCAGATTTCCATCAAATCAACACAAACGCTAATGGCTCAATAACAAGATTCTTGTATTTCCTGTAATTCAATTACTATGCAACATTTAGCATCTTTAAAAGGAGGAAAAGGCCATTTTTTTTATTGCTAAAAAGCTTTTATGAGGAAACTGCAGCCAACATTCAGATCAGAGCGGTAATTGAACCCTTAAACTTTTTGTCTTTTAGTTTCACATTAGGAGGCACTATAATGAAACGATACACTTACATTTTTGCTCTTTGTCAACCAAACCAACTGAAATGGTGGCTTAGCATCATCTTCTTATTATTAGATCACTTGTACTGGGTGTTTTCATGTTAATCTTTTCATCCTGACTACTTTTATGTATGTCAACAGGCTGAGGACTAAAATGCAGTAGGTGAACTCAGTGGTCCACAGACTGAGAGAGGAGGTAAGCAGAGGAAAGAGGAGACATCAGGTGTAATGGACTACTGTTGACTGTAAATTAAAGGGGTCGAGGGAAGCGTCTTTGGATCCCTGCCAACGCTTCATCCAAACAACTCGCTGCATTGTTTAATTATTCCTCATTGGTTGGGACTCTATGCTGTTGTCGAGTTGTGTTGCTGCTCTTTTCTCACGTTTACCTTGATTAAACAGTAAAGCATGTCACTCAAACCGCAAGATTACATTTTTATGACGTAGCGGTGTAAGTGCCTGTTCCCCAACATTTGTTTTATCCAAAATTTGGCACAACAGCACTCAAGATACATAATATCTGAGTTCAGATTTACATTTGAGGGTTGATAAGGAACATAAAGTGTTTTTATTGCTGAGAGTGGCATGCTTGATTTTTTGCAATCCCTTTGTAAACTAGGGCATTACTCTTTTCTTTTTTTGTCAGGGCTACTTTTGAAACTATTACATAGATGAAATTCTCAAATTACATTTTAATATTATTTTCATGAGGATGAGCTGTAGATTTTAAGTTTACTATAAACAATTGGTGCCCTAGACATTATGTGCACACTTACCAAAGAACAAAATCATGGTAAATTGTAGCGTTTGAATGAGGAAAATTAACATTTGGGGCATCAGATAATGTGTACCTCATTGCTATCAAATCTAATATTAGTTTGTTCATTTTTAGTTTTATTCATCATGTTTGTTTAGTAATCGTATGCATTTATCACAGGTGTATTTGTGTGTTCCTGAATTTAAATGAATTGAGCAGGAACTTTTAAACTGACAGACATTCCAATGCTTTGTGTGAGTGCTTGTTTCTCTCTTCACATGTGAGTTGTATATCCCTGTTTTTCAATTGAGCTTATGGAGCAAAAAGAATCATGACATTTGTGATTGTATCGTACCTGCTGCATCTCCCTGCAGACGAAATGTCTTCCTGTTTGGGGTAATTATATATATAATTTGGTTTGCCTCTTGTAGGAGGTTTGGTTTGGCTTTTCAAATGTGCATGTAGCATGATAGGCCTACTGAAGTGTTTGTAGGATTTTCCTCTTAAGTTTTCTTCTAAGACTACATGCAATCTATTTTTTTTTTATTGTTTTAGTTAACTGGAGATATTGTTTGGTTGCTTTTATCGCCATATTATAATGTGTGAACTGTAAGCAAGCAGTGCAAATGTTTCTGTACTTTGTAAGCTGTCATATCAAATAAATGACATCTTTGCCTTATGTATTAATTCAAATTTGGCTCAAGATGTTGTCTTCAGTCATTTTTTCAGTAGCACTTTATTTTACATTCCTGTTCCCCATGTACACAGTACAGTACTTACGTGTACTTACAGTGTACTTACCTAGAAAGTACTGGCTAATATAAGGTAAGTACATGGGTTAGGGGTAGGTTCAGGGTTAGTACCTAGTTATTACCCAGTAATTGTAATTACTATAATAAGTACCTAGTATGTACATGGGTAACAGGACTGTAAAAGGAAGCGTTACCCATTTATTATAGTTATCAAAAACTGTGTAATAACTAGATACTAACCTGAACCTACCCCTAAACCTAACCTTAAAGGAATAGTTCACTTAAAAATGAAAATGGTGTCGTCATTTATTCACCATCAAGTTGTTTCAAACCTGTATGAATTTCTTTCTTCTGTTGAACACAAAGGAAGATATTTTGAAGAATGTCGGTAACCAGACAATTGCTGGTCCCCAGTGACTTCCATAGTAGGAAAAAAATACTATGGAAGGCAATGGTTGTCAGTGGTCAATGGTTTTCAAACATCAACTGTTTGGTTACCGACATTCTTCAAAATATCTTCTTGAAACAACGAGGGTGAGTAAATGATGACAGCATTTTCATTTTTAAGTGAACTATTCCTTTAACCCATGTGGTTACGGCAACGCTTCCTTTAACAGTACAGTACTTACGTGTACTTACAGTGTACTTACCTAGAAAGTACTGGCTAATATAAGGTACATGGGTTGGGGTAGGTTCAGGGTTAGTACCTAGTTATTACCCAGTAATTATAATTACTGTAATAAGTACATAGTAAGTACATGGGTAACAGGACTGTAAAAGGAAGCGTTACCGTAGTTACCTTATAGGCCTATTAACCAGTACTTTCTACATGTAGCCTACTGTAAAAAAAATTGTTATTGGATTATTGTGAGCAAATGTGATGGTTAGCCCCTTCCCCCTAAAACGTACAAGATAATTGACTTTTTGTAATAAAATAATTAAAATATTGTAAAGTAACTTTTATTATTACCATATATAAGGTAAGTTACAGTTAACTGTTTTTTCCCTGCGTTTTAAGATCATTTATTCATTAAAATTGCTAACCTTTTTCCAGTGTACATTATTGAAAATGAATCAAATCAGTCAGCAATTGAATGTAGGCTACTAATATATTGTACTATTCAATATAAAAAAAATATTGTTACTCATTTCAAAAGTCTCCTATAGCAAAACTAGTACTGCCTTTAATCACTTTTATTTACAAAATGGTATTTACAAGTGATGTTGTATAATATGCATTTCTAATGACATTTTATTTGAGTAATTAAGGTATTTCCAAATCCTAATTTCTGCCAAGACCTTTTGGATAATTAAAGAATTTTCTCCATAAGAGATGAAGGCCAGTCAACTCCGCCCAGTGTTCACCCAGTACAACTCCTGTGTCTGTGTGCGTCTCTCAAGCACTCTGATGGTGCAGACGACACTCATCCCTCAGAGAAGAAGTGCAGGAATCCGCTCACCTGAATCGGGATTCGCGGCAGATTTCTCAAAGCCTCTGAAGAACCAACACTGACCGCTGGAATTATCACGAATCAGTTATCTCAGAATGAGAGGAGACAAACCCGTCCGGACAAACGGAGCAGAGGAGACTCGGCGACCGAGTTACCCCGGAGACCAGAGGGTGAAACACGCCAAAAGAGCCACGAAGATCTGGGTGAAAGTGGCGATGGGTATCGCTTACTTTATGTGTGTTTCAGTAGCAGCTTTCTTCTTAGCCATCTACTATGTGCTCTTCTGGACACCAGGTGATTCCACGAACACCACGAAGACAACAAACCTCTTGTGCAATCAGGGATAGAGAGAGACGTGCGGCGCTGGATTCACTCGAGCTGTTACAGCTATTTCTAATGCACTATGCAAACTGTCCCAACACAGCACATTTATCAGTGCGGATCACTGTATCTCTATTTATCAGATATCCTTCCTTCCTCTACTCTGACCTTGCTTATTTAAAATGGACGACTGATAAACTTACATTTTATTAATAACTTCTTATAGCCTATTATTGTGATAGGCCTACATTTTACCTATGGCACCTTATGTAAATGGAAATAATAATACAAGATTTATTATTGTGTTATGGTATTTTGTGTCTAATAGCAATAGTTTTTTGTTATACAGTAGCTACTGGTTCAATTTAACAGTCTGCACATACGTCATTGACGTTTGGCTTTAGAATCGAATAATTTCCTTATTTACACAGGAAAAAAGATATTAAAATGCTATAGTTAACTCATTAAGGTACTTTACAATACAGTAAAAAATATAATTTTACATAAACCACAATTATACTGTAAAATATTGAAACGTGTATGACTTTTAGAACTACATTTTGAAGTCTATATTTTATTATAACAACACAATACATTAACACTTTAACAGATAAATATTATTATAAAATATTTGTGAAAACTAAGCACCTTAGCACCATGCAGAATCCCTGCATGACACTTCATATCTGATCATGTTTAGTTACATTTGATAATATTTTTTGAGATTATGATACATTTTGTTGTTCAGGTAGTTTTTTTTATATATATTGGAATATTAACCTTTATTTATATTGGATGTTAATGTTTGTATTATACCCTCCATCCAGGAAATCTGGGCTCCTTTTTTAAAATAATGTCTGGATATTTCACTTTACAAGCTCTGGTTTCATTTGTTGCTTTGTGTTTTTCACTAGCCAAACCAATACCTTTGTGGACTGCACTACTTAACCAAAGTCACCATAATTATTATTTTACCTGCTTTGATTGTAAAAGTTGAATGAGAAAAGGTACGTTGAGGTCTGTTGCATTTGAGTGTTCATTATAGTTATAAGTTTATGAATGTCTGGCTCTCAGAGTAACTTCTTTTGTCTCCCTACAGTTAAAAGTCTATCTTTATTTATATATATTTATAGCACATCTTTGTGGAATTAAATGGCAGCTTTATGTGGATTTATATATATGATGTACTTACCTGATGAGTCATAACAAAAGTTTTATGACCAGTGTTAAATACATCCATCTAAGCTTGCTGTAATGCACAGTAATCATTACGACTTAATTGTGCTCTGTTTCTCCTAATTAGATCTGATGGGGATGTAATGATGCCATGCAAGACATGACTGTATTTTACCACACAGTAAATCATAAATGGATTTATTATCTTCTTGCTCATGCCTCCATTGTTAGTCTCTGTCAGTGTATCTTAGGTCTGTGTGTATTTGCTTGATGAGTGAATACTGGAGACACTGTGTCTCTTCACTTGCTCAATAATTAAACTGAACTGAAAGTTGTCAAGACACATTTGTTCTCCCTCCGTTCTTACTTCCAGCAGAGGTATTGTGAGATGAGGCTAAATAAAGACTTGTAAAATTGGCCAGATATCACACTATGCTTTCAACACAACAGCTGCCAGTTGCAGCAAACTAACATTGAACATGTTTACATCCATCATTTTCTGATTAAGGTAAATAGTCTAAAAAGATGTCTGGATGTTAGTAAGAATGTTTCTGTAAACATGCAAGGGTGTTTTTCCTTGCTATTCTATTTGGAAATATGGTTGCTATTGTTACTTTGCATGTCAGTAATTTTGGACTGTAATCTTTTTCTCACAATTTTAATAGTTGGTCAATCTGACTCATTTGTCAAAACTATAAATGCTATTAGCCATTCCCACAAAAGTTTAGATCTGTTTAACTCTTTTTGCAAAATTATACACATACTGTCATTGTACATTTTGCCCCATGTGTTCATTTAGAAAGGATTGGAATTCAGTAGTTATCACAAGATCATCAAAACCTGAATCCAATAAAAAACAAAAAAAATCAATATGGAAACACTACTGAAGCATAATCCTTTATCCACCAGTCAGAAAAGAATGTGTTACGTGTCAGAACGTTACAATAAGGGCCACAGGTGTTTATTTGTTTGAGAACAATTGATCCAATTTAAAGTAGAAAATACTAACTAAACTAAAAGTGAATAACTAAAAAGGTGCAAGGACAAAGAGTGAAAATAATAAATGAAAACATTTCACTGCGTCTTCTACACATAATACTATACATTACATGAACTTGAATTACATTTATCTTTGGTAAAAATGGATGACTGTGGCACAATTGTTTAATAGTAAGCTCAAGTAGGAACTGCAATTAGTGCCATGGTCATAATCCACATTGTCATTTGTACAGAGGTGGACAAAGTACACAACTTCCTTACTTGAGTGAAAGTACATACTACTGGTCAAATATTACTCCAGTAAAAGTTGTAAGGACCTATTTTTACTTAAGTAAAAAATACAGAAGTACTCATTTTTAAAAGTAAATGTCAATGCATTGTTTTATTATTGTTGCATTGTTGTATGTAATGCTTACAACCTTATACCTTTGAATCTATGCCTGCCTACCTACCCTCATATCAATATCAAATTTATTTCTAGAACACAGTTCCAGTAGTGGGATTGAATGTGAGATTGAATAAGTGCACTCAATAACGTCCACAATGGTTTCAGACCCAAATGTCTGTTCCCTCAAATAGTGCCCTGTTTAAAGTTTTTTGGCATTAAATTTGTTAGCCTTAGCGTTATCTATAAGCTTGTGTGCTCCAAAACAATGACACAATTCGCATTTAGAAGATCAAACCCAACGTTGAAAATGAAAATCAGGTTGATGTCAGAATCCAACGTCAGTCGGGTTCTGACGTCCACCCGACTTTCATTTCTGACCAAAATCCAATGTCAATCCGACGTTGAATGTTGACGTCAAACCGACCAAACTTTCCTTTCCAACCATAATCCGACCTCTGTTTATTTGGCACATTTGTTGCCTGTCCTCAATTGTTTTCAGAATAATTAGTCGTCAAAAGCAGAGGAAGCGAGCGCGGTCATGCTTTGCCCCCTTTTCCACAGCATTGTCCTTTGGGGAGATTAGCTTGGAGTCTTGTCAATGCTGGAAAGTAAGGAGGGAAATGTTAACAATTAGGCCTACATTCTCGCCTGAAAGACTCTTAAAACTACATTTCGTGACACAACAACAGCAGTTCTGTCATGACAACTCATGGGAGAGATTGGCATGTCATTGTTATGACATCGACATAATTATGACAACTTTTATAAAGATTGATTTTTATTATCTCATAGTTTAAACTTTTTATGTCAACTATAATTTATGTCTCTTATAATTTCAACTTTTTCCTAATAATTTTGACTTTTATGTCATAATTAAGCTATGACTTTTAAGCTCATAATGACTTTGAATCCCATAACTTTTAATGTCATAATTCTGACTTTATTATTAATTAGGTTTTTTTTATTTGTTATTATCTGGTTGAATTTGGCTTCCATATTCAGAAGTTGTGTAGAAATGCAGCAAGCAATTTGCTAATGCTTTCTTGAATCCACAAGAGGGCAATGTAATACAACTGAATCTATTCAATGGGTTTCAAAAAGACAATAAGGTGTAGAAATGAACTGCATATATTTAACTTTATATATAATGATTCTGATATAAAAGTAATCTAGGAGAACATAATGTAGTATTTTAATAGGGCCCCCAACATAGGAAATCAATTAATGACACTCAAAGCAAACCTACAGAAAATGCATTAATCAATCCACAAAATATTCATTTAATTCACAATGTTATATCAATATTGTTTGCATATCAGACTTTTGTCATAATTAATTTAACTATCTGAACACTTAAAAGTGCAAAAAAAGCACTTGTCTGAAACAGCAAATGACAAATATTCAGCTTTTTATTATTATTAGTAGGCCCACAAGAGTAAACAAGTAATAAGGAATTAACAATAAATTAAATAAAAGTTCAAATAAATTCACAGTAAAAAAATAGCTATGTATTCGGTTAATATTAACAGAAATCCTAATAAGAAAGAAAGATTTTTTTGGAGATTTTTCTTTAGGATTGGTCTTCAGATACCAGTGCCTGCAGATCTGTCTCTGAGTCTCTGAGAAAAAGTCTCAGCTCTGGGTAAGTGTGTCTGCGGTGTGTCCCAAATACATGTGATGTGGGGCAAACATAATTCTGATTACATTGTGCAAACAGATGAAAACAATTATTGTCTGATTTAGGAACATGTACATGCCCAGGCAGCTTCCTTTCACTTGAAAGGCTACGATTGCGCCTTTCCATTCTTTCAAGTCCAAGGAAGTTCTCACTTCACTCCTCCAGGAAGAGATGGTTCTGCACAATTTGGTCTGTGAATGGCATCTCTTCTGCTGTTGAAAAAAGACTTTCAGCAGCATCCTCAACATCCTCATCTGGCACAAGCAGATTAATCTGGGATTCGTTGTCAAAGCGAGTGCAGTTTAGGAACATTTTAGGGGTCATCCACCTCCAAAAGCTGCTATTTGTGTTCAGGATTGAATCAAAGTGACATGTTGGTCCATTTTTCATCCAGGCAGGGAAAATCTAGCCTTTGATGCAAGTTTTTAGTGACATGGTCAGGGATAGCCAGCTGGGCGGATGGCTGAAAGATGCCATCGGTACATTTTCTGTGTCCTTTGAGTCGTTTCTCTTCATCATGTTCCAGTGCAAAAGGGTTGCAAATCACATGTTCATTCATAAACAAATCACACACACTTTGTTTGCACAGTAAACGCCTGAGGTCACGGAGGAAAGCACCATGTAGAGTTTTAGGCCTGTTTTCTGGTTGCCAACTAGCTAGTTTTTCCATTGAGCCTGAAAGTGTGAAATATTCATGTTTGTCTTTTATCTCCTGTCGTCTCGACGCTATCAACAGGAATTTAACCACTTTACCGTGGTGTTCTTGAGCGGCATAATCGAGTGGGCGTCTGCCCTCGTTGTCAGGGGTGTCTTGAGCACCGTTGAGTAGCAGAAGCCGAACAGCATCCATGCTGACTCGCCAGGCTCAGGGCGGTCTGGCCCGCCTCGTCCCGTCGCTCTACACCCGCCCCGCGCCCCAGGAGCAGCTGCATCATGAAACAAGCTCTCGCGCTGGGCTGGGTCAGTTCAGCGGAACACATTAACACATAAAAGTCATACGTTGACGCCTTCAATCTCCACACACGCATTTACCACGTCATCTTCCAAGGCCACGAGGATGAAATGGGCAAGTTGGACCTTCCCTTCCCTCATAGCCTGCAGAAATGTCCCAGCTCCGTTCCATAGCTCAGGGTGGTCTCCTAAATGCATAATCAAATATATTCATATCTGTGTGCCATCCTCGTGTATTATGCGGTCTTTCTGGGCTTTTGAATTGTCTGTGTGCTTAATTACGAATTGATTTGTGAGACCTCAGGCGAGTCTCTCTCTCTCTCGGCCACTCCCTGCCCTGATTTCCTCTTTCCATAAACAGCTCGATATTGCGCAGTTTGTTCTGTTCATATGTCCCATATTTCATGTGCTCTGATTCTCATCTATTCAGGTGCGCTGTCTTCTCACCACTTGAGTGAGGTTGGCCATGTTTCCATGGTGACAGGGTATCTGACGTGAGCTTATTGAAGAGTAAACGAGGGCAGAGAGCAGCTGTGACATTTTAGCAGATTCCCCTCTGTAGGCTAATAGCCTATTTATTACAAATATATTTAATAAGATTTTATTAACTTTTCCAGATTAATTTCAAACACATTTACAAATGTTTTATGGAATATTTTAATTTCTAAAGAAATTTCTGTTATGTTCTGTTATAACTTCATAGACCATTTGCATTTAAATTATGAGTGTGTATATATTTTTATATAGCCTACTGTATATATATATATATATTTATATTCGAATTCATTCAAATAACAGAAATGTCAATAAAAATGCCAATGTTTCATGACATTGTAAGATTATTAATTTACAACTATTTTTGTAACTTTAAGAATGTTCTGTAGTAAAGAGATGGTTCACCTAAATGAAAACTGAACTGAACTCAACTGAAGTTTTTTTCTTTTTAATACAACATTAATAAATTAACACTACATTTAAATATTTAACATTCCTTTCCTCCCCAAAAATATTTCAATAAATTCAACATTTTGGGTCACACCAGACCGCATTGCGAGCTAGCAGTATCTCAGACCGACAGGGGGCGACAACATGCCCGAACTCAATTATAGCAGCTGACAAACAATCACGAAGAAGTGTTTTGTTGTCATGGCGGTGTTTTAAACTGCCAGACACTTCCTATAAACAAATATTGAGTTTAGTGGCTGTTTAACAACTGTCTGTCATGTTAAAACATATCGCCACTGATTTACTCGTCCATTTACTGTGTTTTCGTGTGATAAACCAATCTCTCTTTTTTTTTGTTATCGATCGGAACAGTCAGTAGATTATTAGTTGCTCTGTAAAGGATTACTCAAGCGGGATTGATTTAATTTATTATTTCCATCAAGACAGCTCATAAATAAGATTTTATCAGGATGATTTCTGATTTCCAAAGGGGATATGCCATGACCATTGGTGAACTGGGTCCTGTGAACCGTGAATGGATTAAAAAAGGCTCCCCTGTGTCTCAAATGGCTGGTCTGCAAACACAGGTAGTGTACTGATGTAAGAACATATATATATATATATATATATATATATGTGTGTGTGTGTGTGTGTGTGTGTGTGTGTGTGTGTGTGTGTGTGTGTGTGTGTGTGTGTGTGTGATGCTGCATGCTGTATTCTTATGCAAACTTGATTTTGATGTTGATGAACAAGCTTCTCCTTGATTCTCATTGGTTCTGATTCTTCTGATCACAGCTTCAGTTCAATAACATAATGGCACCCAGTGTTCTTAACCGAGCCACCGGTGTGGGACCCCCTTCTCCCATCGTGATAGAGAAACTTATACCCCGTCTAGAGAGGCAGGATGATATGGAGAGCTGCAGCAGCTCCTTACGCCTCTCAGTCCTCTCAGAAGAGCGCCTGCAGGCTGCCGTCAGACTCGCCAGGAGAGATCTGCGCAGGAAACGACAGGAATCCATCAGCCGTTCCTCACTTGAACCAGCGGAGAGATCCCAGATTATCAGCCCTGAAAGAAGCAACACAGATTACAGTCCTCATGTGGTCTACCCAAAGATATCAGGTCCAAAGAAGCAAATAAAAAACAGGGATCAGGTGCTTGTTTATACTCCTCAGAATACCAACAGGCAACTTAAACAGGGCCCGACACCCACCAAAGACTTTGATCTGAGAGTCAACAGCAGTGAACCTCAGCTCAGCCAGGAGATCCGTAAATTACAGAAGGAACTGAGCACATATGTTCAAAGGATAGAGCAGTTGGTTAATAAAGGTATTCTTATTATTCCTAGTCACCCAAATAATATATTTTTCGCTTTTAAAGAGGCTTGCATGTGGGTTTTCTGCAGAATGTGTGGTGGAGGTTCTGGAGCCCGATGAGAAGCACAGGATGGAGATCCGGCGGCAGGAGCAGGCAGCCCGTTCCGCACGTATCATCTATGTGTTACAACAGCAGGTCTGTAAGCACTGCAGTTCATATACACAATGGCGGCACAGTAATGTGAAGTATTTAAGAGTACTAAAGAGGAACTTAAGCTGTCTTTTCACTATCTCTGATATTTGCGTATGATTGTCGCATTTCACCCTCAAGTGACAGTCGCACAGAACTTTCAAATTGGGCATGAAGCATTCGTTACTCTGCTTATTAACCATGGTAAAATAAATAAATAATGAATGTATGAATAAATATATTCACACAAACCAAAAGACCGCCAATACGTTTGAAAGAGAAGCAAAGTAGAATTTTTTAGAGCGAATTAATGCAATTACCTGTAATTTAAAATAATGATAAAATAATTATTTCTGACATAATTATTCCCATTTCTGCTTATTCAGCATTTTTATATTAATGAATAATGAATGTATAGAAATATCCACACAAAAAATTATGACCGTCAATACATTTCAAAGAAAAGCAAAGTAGGTTTTCTACTGCTAATTAATGTAAATAATTGTGTAATAATTATAAAATAATTATTTTAGACATAATTATTCATAACCACTCATTTCACAGAAATAGTTTTTAAGTCATTTTAACCTCAAACGTTTATATCCACACAAAAACCTCACACGTTTATAATTTTGATCAGAATACATCACATCCGTCACATACAGTTTAATGGCAAAATTCAAATATTTCTAAGCACCTGACGCTCAAGTTGCATCTGAAAATTCTGCAATACGTGTATCGACGACAAACCACGCAGCTCCTGTGCTACTCTCCTTTGGAAATGAATGACTTCTGGTCTGTCATTTGTCAGAGATGAAAAGGAGGTTTTAGAGATTCACAACGGGACTGTTTTGTTTCTCTTTTCAAGATTAAAGAGGTACAGGAGGATCTAGACAAGCTGCGTTCCCAGAATGTCAAACACACCCAAAAGGTACCAAAGTTTATTTTACCCAACAAATCAATATCAAAAAGGTTTAATTTTAATTTTGAAGTGCGTGAATGAGACATGCAGGGGCTTTAAATGTTTCTGTGGTTGTCTTCTCAGTCCAAGGCATTGGACAGACTGGCTGCTGCTCACCGGGGAGCTGTAAGAGCCATGCAGGTTTTTATCAACCAGCTGTCGGACCCTACAGAGAGCAGAGTGCCCACCCACTGCAAAGAGCTGGGTCAGCTGATTCGCCAGCTCTCTCTCTGCTCAGCCAAAGTACAGGCGGGACAAGGATCTACCGTACCAGAGACAGCCCTCGACATCCTGCAGAAATTAGAGGTGATTAATTAAATACACACTATGTATTAATGCAAAAATGTATAAAAAAAAACGTATTTAATGCTTTTTTGTGTTTGATTCCTCAGACGCTTGACTCGGCACTGAGTAAGCAGAAGGCACCCAGGAAAAGAGACGTAGATTTGCAGATTGTCAACCCAGTGGAAAACACTTCTAGCCGGGTCAGGGCCCGCAGCATGTCCCCTCCTCGTCCTGCCAGAGACCCAGCTGAGAGGACCTCACGAAGACCCCGAAAGTCAGCTGCTGCAAAAAAGCCTGGTGGTGAGTCATGACGACCAATGGTGATGTTAATTTTTCAGAAATCTTTTTGGTGTCTTATCTGTTAAGGGTTGCACAGACTAGTAGACTAGTCGACTTTAATGCTCTTCCATGAGACTTTAAGCTTGACATCGACTAGTCGCTGATCATGGCCTATAGAGGGCGCAACAGGATAAGAAATCTTTGAAGTCCACTTTAAAATGACAAATAAATGCATACTCCGAGAGCGCTCCACAAGATATGTTTGATTATGCTCAAATTTGATCTGGAGAATGCACGTGTTAAACAGCTTATTGTACACATAAGTTAATGGCCGTTCCAAACTAATGCACTGCTGCATTGTAACACGCATACAGACAGTAGCTCGTCCATTATGAGTAGATCGCGTGCACAGAGAAACATTCAGTAGCGCAGAAATGTATTGTCAACACTGTTCTGTGATTTATCAATAAAATAGCTTAGAAACTGAAAAGTTCTAGCATATATTTCCTAGTAACTAAAATCCACAATTGTTCCCACCAATCGCAATCGCTCTCTCACTAATCTTTACTGTGCTTCTTTATCCGTATCTGATTTAGATCGAGCAGATATCTGTGAGAAATATAATGACCTGAAGACAAAAGAACTAATACAAATAAGCTGTTATGTAGCAGCGATAGTCTTGTGGGCAGTGCTGTTTTTTTGCCATAGCTGTGCACAAGGCAACCCTCGTTCGAGTCTCAGCTCAAGGTTCAGGCTTATTTGTTAATGACGTCATCAGCAACTAGTCCACGTTGACTCGACTTTCATCACATAAATGATGAAAAAAGTAATTCACCCTAATCTGTATATAAAGTGCAAAAATTATTTGGACACTTGAGCCGCACTTAAACTATAACAAATTTATTTTTGTTTACACGCACTTAAAATTATTAAAAAAAAACATCAAAACAAGTGGCATTTATTTTTATTTATTTTAAAGCACAAACACACTTCGTCTTAGAAAAGCTCTAGCAGCATTTATTTGCAGATGCAACTTGTTTTGATATTTTGTGAAAGGGTCTTTTTTTATGTGACTAAACCATCTAAAATTAGGGGTGGGAATCTTTTACCATCTCACGATTCAATTCGATTCCGATTCTTGAGGCCACGATTCGATTCAAAATCGATTTTCGATTCAAAAAGATTTTCGATTTAAAACGATTCGATTTTATCCATAATGATTTCTAATCGGGTTTCTGATCATGATCTACTCTCATCTGCTTTGCTATACAGAATGACAAACGGAGACCAGTGTTTTAGGATTTTTTCCAGCTGTTGTGGCAGGCCCATTTCGCCAGGGGGAGGGGGCGTGGCCCATGAGTGATATTCCCATTGGCCACGCCCCCTTACCCCAGGTGTTTAAACCTCCCCTAAGCATTATAACATTATAACATGAAAGGCTCGAATAAGAGCGGCAAAGCGATTATGCGCATCCCGTGCGCAGAATGATGCACTTGAAGCAGCGCGAAGTCACAGCGCGCAGCGCTCCGGATTGAAAAGTTCAAAGCACAAAACGAAGAGATTATATCTGTCTATCTATGCTTAATGTATTATATATATGCAACAGTTTATTGAGCATTTTCTTTTAACAGTTTTAAATTTCAGTAACAGTGCGCATGAAGAACAATTCATAGCGCTCTCCAGTGCTGTAATCTAACAGACACCCGGGAGAAAGGATTATGATTTAGAGAACGCTATAACGCGACGCGCTGTGTGAATGCTGAATGGAGAATGACTGAGGAGAGATGAGTTTCTATTAACTTTAACTAACGACTTAAATATTCATTTTTACCTCACATTATGCTATTGAATGACTTTAGAAGTCTTGGAATATAGTGCGAACACTTTATGGTGCTTTACAATGTTTTTTATGCCTTTAGCTTAACAATAACACAATATGCACATTAATATCGGACCTCACTGAGAAGCTGCAGCCGTGGCGGGATTATTTTAGGTGTGGCGGCCGGCCACGGCAGATGAATGTAGAAGCGTCATATTTAGAAGCATCAGAAGCTTCATAGAAGCATCCATATTTGCTTCCTTTGATTTGCCGCTCACGTTCAAAAACCGACTGCGTGCATGACGTCCGGACGTCCCGTATAGGCTATAGTTACAAAAATGGAGGCGAACAGCCAGCTGATTTTATTTATTTATTAAATCGATTCTTGGACATTTCAGATCGATTCTGAATCGTTGCAAATGAGAATCTAGATTCTTCTGTGAATCGATTTTTTGGCACACCCCTATCTAAAATGTACAAATACTTTTCTGCGCCCCTGTATTTTGAAATAAAATCAATATTGAGTTATTTATTTAATGCGAAAATGATTTGAAGAATGAGTTTGGTTTCAGGGTATTGCAAAAAAAAATCTGATATTTTTGTTAATGAATGCAGGCAGCAGACTGGCAGGGAAATCCCACAAGACCTCACAGGCTTTGGTGAAGGAGCGCAATGAAGTTTTAAAGGCAGGGCTAGAGAGCCTCATACATCATCAAAAACTACGAGAGGCAGACGCACAGAAACCCAACAAAACTACCAGTGCCATCAACCCAGACCATGTTAAGGTTTTTTTTATTTATTATTAATTCAGTGATGTTAGTTTTAGTTATAGTAGTATTTTACTACTATAGTAATTTAGTACTTTTTTTTACTTTGATGTGATACACTAACGTTCAAAAGTTTGGGGTTTGTATGTTTAAAAAAAAAAAAAAAAAACGTTTATAAGGAGGCATTAAATTGGTCAAAAGTAGCAGTTAAACATTTCAATTGTTACAAAAGCTTTATCTCAAATAAACGCTGAACATCAAATAATCCTGACATTTTTATTATCATGGTTTCCACAAAAATATTAAGCAGAACAGCTGTTTTAAACATTGATAATAATAATAATAAATGATTCTTAAACGCATCAAATCAGCATATTAGAATGATTTCTGAAGGGTCATGTGGCACTGAAGACTGGAGTAATGATGCTGAAAATTCAGCTTTGCCATCACGGGAATAAATTGCATTTTAAAAAATATTAAAATAGAAAAGAGTTACTTAATAATTACCAATATTTCATAATATTACCGTTTTTACTGTATTTTTGATTAAATAAATGCAGCCTCGATGAGCATAAGAGACTTTTTTCATAAACATTACAAAATGACCAACCCCAAACTTTTTAATGATAGTGTATGATTGTGGATATCTTGTTTTGGGTGATTTTAGATGACAGTTTTCCAAAAAAATCTCGTAAAACTGATAAAAGACACACTATGCCTCAAAATTAAGCAGGCGGCTCATCTTCGTGATGCCAGCTTCCAGCAGCCCACTGTCTCATCCCGACTAAGAGAAAACCAGGTACCCCAGAAAGAGCCCACTGTGCCTTGGATGCCAACTTCTCCTCACTCTCCTCCTCGCCCACGGTCAGAACATCCAACCCTCTTATTCATTACTTATTCAGACTTGACATGGTTGCACCTTTGTGTTCTACTCAAATGTATGTATATATATACACAGGTGTAGTGCTGTGTCCAGCCGGCCAGAGCCCAGATGTCTGTTCTCACCTCAAAAGAGCCCTATAAAGCAGAAGCCACAGACCAATTCCAGTACACAGCTCTTATCACATGATAGGAAACAAGCCCAAAATGAAGCCCTCAGGTATATATTGAACCCTCTCTTCCAGATATTTAAGAAATTTATCTGGAGTTTCCAAAGAAAATAAATTATTACCTGGCTCAGTTTATATAAACAATCATCACTCCTCAATTGTGAGATGCTCATGTTCGCTGTTGAGTACGTGACCGCTGTTGATGTTCATTGCTGTGCATTTTTAATTTGCAATAGGCAAGCCTGGTTGGACCGGGTGACTGCAGACAGACTGAGAGAGCTGAATCGTCTGAGTAAAGAAGAGGCTGACCGCATTAACAAACTCCGGTACAACAGCAGCTGCTTCATTATTATACTTAACCTGCGGTTCAAAAACTGAATTCTTGTGCTTGTTTAATTTAGTTCATTAAAAAGAGCTCATGCAATGCATTTCTTGAACATTTTGTCGCTAAATTTAACTAAGTGCAATCAAAATACAAGTTGACAATCAATTTACGTTGGGGCTACTTGAATAATGATGTTTGAAAATACAGATCTAGACAAACAAGCTGGAAATTAAATATTTTTTTGTCTCAAATCATCCGTCTCTATGGAAGCTTGTTTCCGCCACAGAAGAAAACATTTGAAAAGATAATTCTGACCTTTTTTCTCTGAATTGTGAGTTTATATCTCACAATTCTGAAATTATAACATGCAATTTTGAGGTTTTAGAGATTTAAACGCACAATTGTGAGATATAAAGTAAGAATTGCATGTTAGAAATTCAGAATTGTGAGATATAACTTGCAAAATTACCTCTTTTAATTTTTATTTTGTGGCGGAAACAAGCTTACATACATCTGTGTAGTTAATTTAACTTAATAAATATACCACTAAGTTTTAGTATGCTAGAAAAAAATTTAAGTATGTATTAAAAATTCTGCTCAGTCCTTTGCATGTAGTAGGCATAACTAAATTTAGTTAGTCAAACAATTTTTTCGAAAATTCTTAATTTAATTGCTTTGTAAAGTTTTCCTAAGTTTAATTGTTCATTGAACTTTAAATTTTTTGAGTGTATGTTATCATTGATGTGTATTAATATGTGGGCATTGTAGGACCACAGTAGGCTCCCCGACACAATGGGCCGAAAAAGCTGAGCGGGCCATTAAAGTGAGAATTCAGCCTTTGTTGGATCGAGCACAGGTAAATGGATACATCTGATGACCCCCCCAAATAATGTCTGATATAGTGAGTCTATCTGCAGGAGATTTAATCTCTTGCAAGACTGAGTGTACCATTGGACTGTTTTTCTACAATATTTGTGTGTTCTTCCCCTCGGACAGCCCAGCTGTTGTGCATGTATGTTGGCATTGATATGAATAGACAGACATTTCTTTTTGTTCATTTCTTTTTTTTCTCATACTTGTACGGCAGGTGGTTGAAGCAGGAAGTGACACTCTCAGAGCGCAGCTGAAGGTTGTAGATAAGGTGAGAAACTCATTACTTTTCTAAAACTACTTACTTTCGTATTCCTGGATGAGCACTGAGACTTTTCAATCCATTTTCAATTTACAAAAGTTCACATAAAAAAAGAAAATGTGAGAATGTGACTACGCTGTGCTGTGTTGTAAATGCTGGCAGCCCGGGGCCAGGGCGGATGTCCTGAGCGACGCTCTTCTGGACGATCTTCTGGAGGACGCAGCTCAAGCTCTGTGGGTGACGGAGAGGCAGCAGGTGGCCGAGACTGATGCTGAGAGGAAGCTGCAGGACCCCACATTAGAGAGCATGTTGCTGAGGATGGAGGAGATGGAGGTCAGTGTGTGGGAGATAAAGACATAGATTATAAGATTTGTGAGTTTGGAGTTATGCCAATGTTCAGTCCATGATGTAATGTAATGGACTGAACTTGATATGTTTATTTTTTGTCATTATTATTATTTATTTTTTGTCATTATTATTATAAAAATGGTTAAAAATAAAAAATACAAAAATACTATTGTTATTAATTGATTATTATTATAATTATTAAAAAGCTATTAAATTTTTTATTATAACAATTATAATATGAAATTATTATAATTATTATATAAAAAAGAAATTATTAAAAACTTTTAGAAATAGTATTTATTTAATTTAATTTATATTAGGTAATTGTTTTTAATTATGTTTGTAATAGTAAAAACCATTTTTTTTTCTGGGGAAAAAACTTCTTTGCATCATTTTGATTGGGTCAAAAAATAAACTGAAGTATTAAATCACCTGACACATAAAGCTCTATTTTGTGACTCAGAGAGACCAGGAAGATGTACGTCGACGCTTTGCTATGATCTCATACTCAGACCCTCTCATTTGGGAAAAAGGCACAGGTGAGACACAGTACCCACACAGGCCATTCACATTCATCCCTGACAAAAGTAGTTATCAGTTGTCCTTTTGGGAGCATTAGAAGGTCAGTCTTTGCGTCTCCCCACTTTGTCCCCAGAGAGACAGACAAGTATGAGCTCTGCATTTTGTTTGGCTGATATGACAGTGATATCCACCAGATGGCAGCAGTGTAACACGTCTTGTGTGTTGCAGACGATCCAAGGAATATTTCTAGCTCCAGGCCAGCCTCTCCTCAACCAATCCGACTGACGAAACCAGTCCTGAATGCACCCAGCTCGGCCGACATCCTCCTGCAAAAGCCAGTTGAGACTGGGTGAGTGAATGTCAGCTGGTTTTAGAGTGTATTGACTGCGTATATGCCAGGCACATTTGGATCAGTCACAATTTAATCAGTCTTTACTTGAATTTGCAGAAGAACAGCACATTGACCAGAGTGTTTTTTTTGCACTGTAATCTGCATCTGTCTGTTTAGGGAGAATTCAATAACAGCCACAAGGAAATCAAAATCTAAAATATCTGCTGGTAAAAACTCTCTCTCCCACCACCTCCTCCTTCTGTAGTTCTGCCAAGAGAGAGCGGGAGCCTCGCTTCTTTCTGCCCAAAGCTTTGGCAGCAGCTGTGGCTCAGTAAATGAATGAGGAAAATAAAAGAATAAATAGGGACAGTCTTGAGAGTGTGAGAGTTGTCTAAAGCGAGAGAGATGGGAAATTTAGTGGAACAGGTTCAATAGATACATTAGAAGATTAGAATGCTTTCTCCTCTTCGGCTTCAGCTCACAGCGAGGCCCTTCAGCTCTGTGAACGCAGTGTAAACATTCAGCCTCCACTTTCTTTTTCTCTCTCAACATAGGAGCACAATGTCTAAACAAACTTCAAAGCATCATCTCATGTCTAATCTCAGGGTATTACTGCAGTGTCTACAAGCCTTCCAAGTGTGTATTCTGTCTGCTACATTCTGACAGCAGATAGTATATACACTGTATTTCATGTGCTGCTTTTCACTGCTTTTCACAAAATGTCACATTTCTGTCACTGAATGACTATTGAATATTTATTGGTAGATGTAATGTGTTTATTGGTATGTGGTAGGACTAATAAGTAGTCTTTTATCTATCGACTTTGGTGAAATGACAATCCAATAAGCTAAATAAAACCTCTACACTTTCATTGGGTGGACATTTTTTTCCACAGCAAATTATTATAAAATCTAGAGCTTCTACATGTGAATATTTTATACAAAATATATTACATTTTATAATTTATAATATATATTACATGGAAGTGTACAAGTAGAAATAATACCTGAAATGTACAGCTGACACCATAAAATATTCACAAAAAAGAATGCGCTAAAACATACACTAAGAAACGAAAGGCTTGAACAATAATACTTGATACACAATAAGCATGCACACACACACACACACACACACACAAAACTAAAAGTGGCATCCCGTCGCGGACGTCAATCGAAATGTGGAGTTTTAAAAACAATTTTTTTTGGATTATTATTGACAATCAGACTCTAGAGAATCTTTCTGCGCTGATTTGGTTCCGATCCAGCGAAAACCCTAGGACTAGTTATTGAACTTTTGTTCCATAGGTTTTTCAAAAAAACTTTTTGTTTGTCTTGAGCCAAGGATTCTAACGATATAAAACACTTGAGTCTACTACAAACTGTTTAGGGGTTATGAGCCATTGCGTACTTTTGATCGCTGTAGTGCCACCATCAGGCCGATTGGGGCGAGCCTTGGTGACGTTGTAGACGGGGTGGGCACTACCATCCCTCAAAGTTTCAAGTCTCTACGACTTACTTTTAGGGGAGAATGCTAATCCTTGGAAATGCTAACAATTACAATAGGAGATAGATAGATAGATAGATAGATAGATAGATAGATAGATAGATAGATAGATAGATAGATAGATAGATAGATAGATAGATAGATAGATAGATAGATAGATAGATAGATAGATAATAGATATGGCTGCCTACTGTTGCTGCCTCTCTGTTATCATACAGTGATGCAGTGTTGGGCATTTGTTCACTTGTCTCAGATCAGTGAGCATCATGCTTCACTGACTATCTTTGTCCCCCCCCCCCCCCCCCCAAAAAGCACCAACTTCAATCTGGAACCGGTACAGATAGAGGACAAGGCACTGTAGTCCTTTTATAGTAATATTTGTGTTACCATACCTCTGTATGTAAACAGCCAATTAACATCCCAGACGGTAACCATAAGGACTGATGAGGCCCACTTGGAGATTTGTTTATTCTCCCCATATTCCAGTGCACTCACTGCGTGGGCCATGGGTACTCTCCACTGCCCTGATCTGAACCTTTGTTTGGATTTATTTATCCTTAGCTAGTCACTTTATGCTGTCAGAAAACACTGGCTCTGAAATGTCACTGCACTAGGAGGCTATTCTTCAGTCTCTCTTTTGTCTGTGTTGAAACATGAGCAATGACTGTGACCACGATTAAGATCCCTCTGGAGAAATCCAGTGAGCTGCAGTGACTGAAAGGGATGCAGGGATCAAGGGTCTATCAGTTATACTGGCAGTTGTCCAGTAGAGAAATCACATTAGATTATTATTTTTGGGGTCAGTAACATTTTTTTTTATGTTTTTGAAAGAAGGCTGCATTTATTTGATAAAATAAACAGTAATTTTGTGAAATATGTTATTGCAATTTTATATGTAATTTATTCCTTGTGATTGTAAAGCTGAATTTTCAGCATCATTACCCCAGTCTTCAGTGTCACATGATCCTTCAGAAATCATTCTAATATGCAAAATAATTCATACACTACATGAAAGTGTTTTTTACATACTGGATTTTAATTTCACCAATGTAAATAGATAAAAAGCACTATAATTTGACAAATGACACTTGGAATTTAAATTTTGTAGTGATTTGCATAACAGAAATGCCAAATTTCTTCTATGGAAAAAGTTAGTACATCTTTTTCTTTTATCAATTAGATAAAATGAAGTGCAAATTAGTTGAACCACATTAAAGAGTAAGGCCTACACTTTGTTTTCTTAATGGGGTGCACTAACTTTTACCCATGCACAGCACTGTAGTTAGTAAGTAATAATAGCAGTTGCTTGTATCCAAAGCAACTTACTTGCTATCACCTTACTTTAAAGGACAAAATCTTGACATCACTTCAGGATCCTTGTCTAGTTGCCAGCTGGAAATGGAATATTTTATTTCTTTGACTTAGGAAATGGCTGTCATCAAAAGCTTTTTGCAACTTATTCTTGACTAATCCATCCAAAAGAAGTGTCCATATCTGCCTTCATCCTGCTTGCACAGTTTAATGACTACTCGTTTAAAAGCCACACAAATGGACATCACACTCTTGATCAGAAAGTTAGTCAATCTACTCATCAGCTCGTCTCTTAATGTCATTTATTCTTCTGGCCTCCGTCGTTAATTCTCTCCTGATGTTACAGTTTTATATATTAGAATCAACCTAATGGTTCAATCAAACTCTCATTGAGCATTTTATATCCTTTTTGCAGCTTATTTACATCAGAATGGACGATTATTGGGCGGATGTGGCCGAGAAAGATAAAACTCGTGGAAAATGAATTATGCAAAGCATTATGGTAATTACTCGGCTTTTAGTACAGCAACTAAAGGCCAAGGCGGAACAGAGGATTTATGATGGGAAACCAGTAAAATGTTATTTGCGTATGAAATGTGCCACTAGAGGGGGCAACCTTTTTGGCGGTGTAGCACATGCTCATGGGAGGTAATTTAAAGAGCGGATATTGGGCCTTGATGTTGATTAGCACAAAGAGCTTATTATTTGTTGTATAATCTCTGATTACCTGTGAAGGCAACACACTGTTTGAAACGGAAACACTGTAAAGTTTGTAAATGGCACACACAAACTGATTGGGGATTTATACTCGGATTCAGAAGGCTGCACACGATTCATTTGTCACTGCTAGACTGGTTGCAAAGAAGCAATGTGTGTCCTTATAGAGAGCTGTCAGTGTGGCTTTGCTTTTTAGCTTTAGTTTTTATTATTATGATTATTCAGAGAACCACTTTGGCTTGAGAAAAGGAATGTTAGGGGACCCAGGGGAGAAGCTAAAAAGCTCTGCTAGAGCATAATCAATCATCGTGCCCGATTTATAATGAAACTCAAAAAACGTGTTTGCGTCTCGTTTTTTTCTCCCTCTGTGATTTGTTTGGATTTTTCTCTCAGTGGATTGTAGAGTCAAGTGTCATTTGATGTAGCAGTAAAAGCATCAAACAGACCAATCTGTGCACTGAAATCACCAGCCACTCCTCTTCCATTCTAGTTTAGTGCGCTTTTTCAACGTCAATATTTCTCACAATACACAGACAGAGAGGAAGTCTCCAATGTGGATTCTCTTTCTGCTCCATTTTTTCTGAATGGCTAGGTTGATATTTCAATTTGACAAAATGGCATTTGAAACATTTTGCTCTGGATTTGATTTTATCTTATCCATGAGTAAAAGTGGGCGGCACATACAAGTGTTACAGGTGGTTGTAGAGGAGAGGAGAATATCAGAGATGTAGCGAGTTACTACATTTTGGAAAATTACTTTTATTAAATTACTAAAATGGCTTTTATTATTTTATACTTTTATTCAGACAGTAAGGATGCATTAAATTGTTCAAAAGTGGCAATAAATACATGTATGTTACAAAATATTTCTATTTCAAATAAATGCTGTTCTTTTAAACTTTATTCATCAAAGAACCATGAAAAAACTGCATCAGGTTTTCCACAAAAATATAAAGCAGCACAACTGTTTTCAACAATAATAATAAATGTTTCTTGAGCACCAAATCGGAATGATTTCTGAAGGATCATGTGACACTGAAGACTGCAGTGATGATGCTGAAAATTCAGCTTTGCCAGCACAGGAATAAATTACAATTTAAAATATATTGAAATAGAAAATAGTTCTACAAGCGTAATTCAGGATCAGTTCTTTGAAAACAAGTCTTATAATCTTAAACAATTTTGCTGCTCAAGTACATTTGTCTTGTTTTAATTGATCTTGTTTGTTTTGCAGTAGAGTGCTATTAAATCTTACACTCTGCAACAGACTCTCACTGAATGAGGTTTTCTAATGCAGAAGTGTCAGGAACAGAGTCATAAAGGAGTGATATAAGTGGTGATATCTTATAATGTCCTGTGTCTGCATCCGCTTAAATAAGTTATGGGTGTTGGAGGTCTCAACAATAGAGTGACCAACACATCTAAGAGAGTGTCTGATCCCCCACTTCTCATTCAAAGCTCAAAGAGATCAATGCAGAGCTCATGGTGAGGCTGCCTCTTTCGGTTTGATCTTCATTCTCTGTTCTCTAACCTTTTAATTCATACCGCCATCTCTCTTTCTTTTCCTCCATCTCTTTCTCCATCTAACCTTGTCTGGCTAATCTCCCTCTCCGGCTCCTTGACGGTAACCTTGCTTTTGGTTATGGCCCTCTCACTGGATGAAAACCGAAAAACTGGAGCCCTTTAGCTTTATTGGTTTTGATCTCTGGCTTCTGAATATTGATAGAGCATTGGTCGTCCAGAATCTCATCCACTGACTTTTACAAGTCTTATTTCTGTTTGCACAACCTTATTACAGCTGCCTTTCACCATTATATCACTCCCGTCTGTTCAGGTCAAAACGCTGTTCGTCTATGGTCTGCTGCTTTTCTGGTCCATTCTGTATTCCTTACAAGAACTTCAAAACTATGTTTCGATCTTGAAACCTTTGTCGGCCATTTAAAAGCACAGAACGACACACCTGCAATGTTATGTATGTAAAATGTATATATACTATATAAATGTTATATAATATAAAAATATAATTTATTATTAACATTTATTTATGTATGAGGTATTTATTTATTTAGAATAATTTATTACACAAATGTGTTTCCTTAACTACACATTTGCATATGAACAACTATTCTGTATTTATTTTGATTCTGTGATTTCGTTTGTCAAAAGTGGTGAATTTTTCATTGAAAGAACTGGATCACAAAAGTCATTTACTTGTGAAGCAATTTACACTGGTTGCACTCTTATAGAATAGAAATAGAAAATATACATTGCTCTAAATGTGTTTTTATTCACAATCTCTGTGAAGAGGTTCACTAGATGGTGCTTCACCCACCTTTTAACCCTCTGGGGTTGTTCGGCCCAAATGGACCCGAAGCATTTAAATAATTTTTTTTTTTAAATCATAGCTTTATCGGAATGGTCCGAAATTTGGTGACTTTGTTGGTACTTGGTATATGAACACCCAAACAAATTGGGGACAGAATTTGAATAGTCTAAGTGGTTGTAAAAAAAATAGTCACACTCAGAACCAAATGGACCCGCATAGGAAATGAATGGGAAATTGGCAAAAATGTGAAAATACAGAGTTTTTTTGTGCGTACAATCTACAAATCAGCCACGATCCAGAAAAAAGCATACAACAGTGAAGGGGTGAATCTATAAAACATCAAGAGTGCAAAACAGACACATCCACCCACACACACACACACACACACACACTTTTATACACATACACACTAATAAATTCAGATTACATATGGGTTTTGAATTTTTAAAATGCTCAGTTTGTCCACCAGATGGCATCCATCTCATTTCAAAAATTGCTTTCATGAGGCCTAGGCTTGACTCTAAAATTAAATATAGCTTTAAAAAAAAAAAAAGGGTCATAATTATAGCATTAATATTAATTATAAATCATTTTTATTTTTGAAATTATCTCAAAACACCAAAAAAGAAAAGAAAAAATATTCTAAAAAAAAAGTAAAAAAAAAAGAAAAAGATGATTTTTAAAAAATAAATATTAATCCCACCCTTCCGGCCCATTTGGACCTGAAGGTCCTGAATGTGACTCTGAAATGAAGGACCCCAGAGGGTTAACCTGCTAATTGGCCTTAAGGCATGCTGTGGCACTCTGGAGAAGTGTAAAATTCACTATAGTTATTGTTTTATAGGTGTTAACTTCTACCAATTTGTTATTGGCTTCCTCATTGTTTATTAAGCTTCCCTAAGAAAAAGTTCTCCTAACATCTCCCTTGCCTCGTGCTATCGGCCAAACACACTGGAACGTGTTCACAAGTCAGCCCAGCATTGTGTCTGCTCGTATAAATCACATGTGGAGCTCTGACAGTGTTTTTTCTTCTGATTTTGACTGCTGAAGCATGTGTTGAACAGAGGAAAGGGAGAAATTTTGGTCATTATTTTTGGCTCTCCACCGTGCCTTGCCAGGCTTGTTTTGACAGAAGAAGCCTGGAAAGCCTTTGCCCGTTTCACTGTGCATGTGCATGCTTGTTTTTACATCTTACAGAACTGCATGTGCGTTCAGAACCTCGTATGACCTTTCTTGCTTGCATAACTTCAGAGCCAAATTAACACAAGGGACGCCTTCTAATTTGAATCCCTAAATTAAGCGCTTACCTTGACCATCCTTTCACCCGTTTTTGTTCGCACTGTGCAACTGCTCAAAGTTTGCCATTATTCTCCCAGCCGCAGTGAATTCCTCACTTTTCTAGAGTACCACAGCACGCTCGAAACGTTTGAGGTAGCTGTTAGCCAGAGCGGTATTCTATTAGCCGCACAAAGAGGCGCCTTGTGGGAACGGTAAAGGGGAAGTGATTGTACAATAGCAGCGCCGGCCCCCATAATATTCCATTTGAAAATAAATGGCCCTTGTGAGCTTTTGGAGGCCTTGCGATTTAAGTGTCTAGACTGAGCTTGCGTCCAATATTTTTATTAAAGGCAACCTGGAATAGGAGTTGTTTCTTACTTCTGCTGCTAAATATGAAGGTGGAAAGTGTGCTTCAGAGGGTCTGATTAACACTAAGTGTACCCAGTGTGGTCCAGATGAGACGGCTGGTGCGCTGAGCTCACATGGAAGTGATCTGAGGGAGGGGTAGAGATGTTTACACGAGTGCTTTTGATTCTAGATTTAGCACCACTTAAATCAAAATTGAATATTCATTTAGAGTATTAATTTGTTGTGATTGTGTTTGTATCGCTCTTTAATTCCCTTAACAGTATGATGGTCTGAAGCATGAATAGATCTTACTTATGTTTCTATTTAGACATGATGATTTGATTGGAAATGTTTCTGTTTAACCACATTTCGAATAATTAAGATTTTTTTAATGTCCCTTATCAGCATATTAGTATAATTTCTGAAGGATCATGTGAAAGTGAAATGCCATCACAGTAATGCATTATATTTTACAATATATTAAAATGGAAAATCGATATTTATAATTGTAACAATATTTTACAATAATACTGTTTTTACTGTATTTTTGATCAAAAATGCAGCCTTGGTGAGCATAAAATAATATATATATATATATATATATATTCTGTCGAGTACTGTAATCGGATTGTTTAATACAGAATAAAAATGACAAACTTTGCTGTAGCCTTTAGCTATGCATATAAAAGACAAGAACAAGTAAACCTGAAAATAATTTCTATGGCCTTTAGATGCACACATTTGAAATGATATGACCTTTATGAAAGAGTGAGCAAAATGCATGAGGATTTCTTCTTCTGTTTACAGGGCTGCATCAGACACGTCGATGCTAGATGAGGAGTGTTTAACTCTAAATGACCCCAGGAATCCAGTCTCAGCTGGAGGGGAAAGCACACGAGGGACGTACCTTACTGTGCCGCCCAGCATGCAGAGGAGTATCCAGAAATACAGGGAGAACCATGATGCCTTCCTATGCCTGGTCTCACATGAGGCTCTGGGGAGCTTCAATCCCTGGGCAATAGCAGACAGGTTTGAATCTAATCATTTCTTTATTAATAACACATATCAATTAACAGTAAAATGTGGAAAGAACTCAAATGAAAATGCATGATTCGTTAAGGATATTAGTAACATTAGTGACTGGAGAACATGTATATGCACTGTGGAAGTAAAACACTGACCATTTCTTTTCTTTTTCACACATTACAGGGGCAGATTATTGATTAATAATTAGTTGCATAGCACGGTACTATTTTATAACCTCAAAACACTTTTTGCCATAGTGCATGGTTTCTAAACAAATACAATTTGACATATTTATGGCTTTCCCGACATAGTAAACTTGCTCGGTAGCACGCCTGGTACATTATTGCACTTAGCTGCAATAAAAGAGCTAGAAGCAAGCTAAAATGGTATGGTTACTTCAGAAAATGAATTTTCATCTCACGTTTGCTTTTGTTAACTCTATGGAATACTGATTACTGGACATTTCATTTTTTAGTGTTGTGAAATCTGCAAGAAATGTAATATTTTTCAGAAATTACACCACAGGCAGGTTTTTCAATGAGCCTGGGTTGGAAAGGAATCTTGCATTTGCCATTATCTGAATTTTAATGCCGTGACTTCAGTAAACAACTGAACAAATGTGTGTATGGAAGCTGAAGTGTGCATGTGTCCCATAGACATATAACCTAAATTAGCTCTTAATCATTCAGCACTGATATCTGCAATTTCCTGACATATTTTGTTTGTGCTTAAGACATGTTCCTGGATGTATAAACAGTAAAAGCTCAGCTCTTCTATTTGCACTCAGAGCAACAGCAGATTAATCATAAGCCTCAGCGTGTTTCCCACAGTGACACCGCTAGTAGGAGTTGAGATTGTTTACAGCCTCTCGGCTATAATGATCCTCGCACACGATGCTATTTTAAATGTAAATATTAGCTCTGTTTTTTGATGGGTGCTAATGTAGAGCGTGCTCCTGTGCAAATGAGCTTCTTTGTTGTTCCACTAGTGCTCCTGCACGCCCACCTCACCATTAGCATACTTAACAGAATTTTTAAGTTGGTGCAATGCGGTGGATATTTATCAAGTCCTTCTAGTCCACAGAGAGCACACTTTTAACAGCGGTGGGAAGAGGAACACAAAAACCAGAATCTGATCCTAGAGCTGAGGTCTCATTTGTCAGCCATGGGCTGTGTGGGTGGCGAGAAGAATTGTTGCAAAAAATAATTTACGGAAGCAAGAAAGTGAGGAATCGAAAAGTGAAAATATTTACCTGTGTGCTGCGGCTTGAAAAAAAGCTGAGTTATTGCACGGATACAAAATAAAATTGAGGGTTTATTTTTGTTTTGCAGAGGTCAGTGTTGCACCGTAGAGACTCTGAATGGTTATTATTCTAGAGAAATAGAGAAGATGTGAAATGTCACGGCAATTAGTGCTGCTGCTGGGAATGGGTGCGGGCACTTGTCAGTCTGCAGTGCATTGTGGGTAATAAGAGCCTTGAAGGCAGGCAAGGCCTTGAGTGAGCACAGACTGACTGGACTCTCTGGTTAGCTCTGCTCTTTACGCCGAGGAATATTTGCCTCAAAGGAGGAATTTAGATGATCTTATCACTGTCCTAAAGACATAGACAGAAGTATTTTCTTTTTTTGTTCCTGACACACTCTAAGGAAGGTTGAAGGCCGAAATGCATCAATATGCAGTTAAAAAAAAAAAACTGTGACTAGGCATTATGTGAATAAAAGCTTTTTAACTCTTTTTGTACTGGAAGAAGTGCCTTGGACTCTTTTCTAAAAGTATAGAAAGAAGTAACCGTTATTTTCTTAACGTTGGGAGATCACAGAAAAGTTTTATTTTATTATTTCTATACTAGTATTGTATTTATTAATATTTAGAATTTTAATACCTTTTATTTTTAGATTTTCTTTTGTTTAAGGTTTTGTAATTTTATGTGCTTTTGTCATGTTTATTATTATTATTATTATTATTAATATTTAATTATTTAATTAAATTATAATATTTCTATATCTTAAAAGTCGCGATAAAACCGAAGTAGTGACACATCTTTTCCTAATTCCTATGTATTGTGATGTACTTCTGATTGAAGCAGATTTTCAAAAATTAAAATTGTAGGTCAGGGACTTGGATCTATGCTTCAGTTGTTGATTGGATTTTGAGATATGGTGAATTAAATGATTGGAGAAGTTTGGATACCTCATCCGAGACAAGTTGTTTTATACCCGAAGGTCCAGTTTAGTCATTTTGATTAAACATTATGAGGTCAAACCATTTAATAAATGAAGCCATTTATAACACACATTTATTCAATAGTAGATCATTAACAACACTGACTAAATGAGGCAATTATAATAACTAAGATTAAAGGGGAAGTACGTACTATTTGTTATGTTAAAATACATTATCTTAACCTACCGTAGTTTATTGTTCATTGACTACTATTAGTATCACATTAATTGGTTTATATCCCCCGAGAGTATAAACACTGAGTCCAGAGGCACCATTAAAACATTGAGAGCGGTCTGCTCAGATCTTTCAATCTCTTTGCAGCTCAACCTACTGTATAGACCTATGTGGCAGAGAAACAAGCATGAAGCCTTTTTTAGAATTTTGTGTTTGAACTTCCGTTTTTGTGGTTGCTCTGTATATTTCTATGGCATTGCTGTCAAAGAGTAATTAGCTGGTGATGTGGATTTACTTATTGTAGAGTTAACAAAAGTTGTCATGAGCATTGTAATGTTAGAAGCAGATGTCATAACAATTGTAGGTTGACCTGGAAGATTTGATAAATCTGTAAGATCTTACCTTCATGCTGTGGAAATACAAACAGGAAGACAGAATATAACAAGCTCAGTGCTGAAAAGGGGAGTGGCTACTGTATCAGGCGGAGCCAGAGGGTGTTCAGCCAATGTGGGACCGTGACTGATACCCATGACTTAAGAAAAGACATTCAGCTTCGGTTACAGAAGAACAAGCCAAAATTCACTGCATTTAGATCTTTAAAGACTAAACAGGTCATGAACACGCCAAAGCAAACTAGGTATTGTGATGCAACAGCCTCAAACAGAGTGTTAACCCACTCAGCTGCTTGCTTATGACACATAGCAATACAGCTAAAAATATTCTTAATATCTGGGACCTTTCATTGAAAGTAGCCTAGTTTTACCCATTGAGACATGCCTTCACGTAGCACCCGTAAGAGCTGTGTTTGTGATGTTTGGGTTGGGGAGGCACGGCGCGGGAAAGGGCCGTTTGCAAAATAAACTGTATTTTTGTGATTCGGCTAGGTGCTACTAGTGTCGCAGAAACTACAAAATTTGGGTGACCTATCCATTTAAAGTAAACTGAGCAGCAAGCGCTGTGAGATTGTAACTCTCTTTTCCCTTGTTTCCCTCAGTCTGGCGGATGAGCTAATGGCCGAGGCACTGGCTGATGTGGCGGCAGAGTTCCAGGATGTTTGTGAAGAGTATGCGGAAGCTGTTTTCACGTCAGAGTTCCTCCAGCCTGTGCAGTCTCCCACTACATCAGTGTCATAGAAGCTCCTCATAAACAACTTACAAGCAATGACATTTTGATATGTTTTTGGAATTGAAAATGGTAATATCCAGGTTTATATATTTGTATGTTTTTTTCCATGAATTACGTTTCCATGCTTTAAATATAGAACTTACCGGTTAGAGCTCAGTATTTACTCAGACCGGCATTTTTGCTGTAATGCGAAACCTTAGTGGGCGGTCTGACTTCTAAATGCAAACAGATGCTTTATAGCACACGGCTAACAAATGTCACATCAATGTGTCATAATGCATGCAACCTTTGTGCATTAGTCAATGCTGTAGTTAGTGGCTATTCAGCATAGAGAAAAGCTTTAAAAAACCTTCTACATTATTAATGCATTGGGAATGATAAGATTTACACTGTTATCCATAAATACCTCACACTAGAGGATCACTCACTTCCTCTTGAATAAGCATTATTAGAGGCATTAATGCGATCCGCATCAGAACACAAACTTGTTGCTTTGTGGACTGATTTCACACACTCTAAAGCATATGTTATGTTCCTCTATGCTAATTGTCTTTTAATTCACTAAGCTCTCCATATGTTGGCTGTGATCCCTAGTGTGACTGGATAGGTGAGGTATTTAGAGAATGTGTATAGTTTATGTGTCAAGGCCTGAGGGGAGAATGGCCTCCAGTTGAGTCTAGATGTTGGGCAGGTACAGTATACTGGGAATGTCACCGGACAGGACACATAGTTACAAACATTTTGTCCATAGGGGCCGTGTGCAGAAATTCTACACGCCTACAGCTCTTATATAACCAAGGCTATAAAAATCAGAAAGTGTGTAGTTTCGTCATCTAAAATGAGGGTCTGCGTCTTTGTGTGATTTTAAAAGTATCGGTTGTCCTTTTACTGTTTAATTCTAATGTAGTGAGCTGATTTTAGGGGACGTTTCTTAACCTGTCAAGCTGCAGTTTAAACCCCCCAGATGTGAGTCACAGGTTTCTTCCATTTCTGTTCAGCAACCTACTTATTTGTGAAAAGTGCCAAAAGCAAACTAATAGCACAACATAACTGCATTTGCCAGTAAATTCTAGGCTTTGTGCCATGAATTATTATGATGCTGTGACTCTACAGGGAAATAGTCACCAGTTTGGCATGAACTTGTTCTTGTGTTTGTATTGCTTGTGAAAGACAACTGTTGAATTGTATTGTATTTATAATCACGATTTAATTTATAATGGAAATAAAGGTTTCTTTTAAGCATCTCCCTGGCCTTGTACCCTGGATGAAACTGCTTTTAAAAGAAAAAGTTGAAATTAATTAAATTATAATTTTAGTCGGCGTAATCAGTGTTATCTGTCTTTCTGCTTGTCGGGCCTGCAGGCTGTTTCTCTTCTGCTGCTTTTACCAGAGAAACTCAAAGCAATGTTTGGAGTCAAAGTATTTTGTCATTGGGTTTTCCTGCCTGCTGCAAATAGGCCAAGTCCTTTAAGGAGTGTGCTAATGCAACATGGGAAGTTTGGCCTGGAATTGAAAAACCCCAGACTTCACCTCTATCAATAGTCATTTAGAGCTACTCCAGAACAGTTAATGTAGGATCCCTGATATGCAGCAATGCCTTACATTAGACTAGGATGAGCTGGGGTTATTTTATATACATGGCAACACAAAACACTCTTTTCATACAGACAATGAGCTGTTAAACATGTTTATGGAAAATGCACCACACTTGGCCTTGGTTTTGCCACTTTTTCTTTCAATTACTGTTTGACAGCTAGCACAAGACTCATATTTTATAGTCATTACACCCCAACATTAATCAGCCGAACTGATGTTAATGTACTGTGACCGAGTTGGTTATTTAAAGGCCTGAGGAGGAATCGCAACATCATGATTTATGAACAAGCTAACATTTTGCACAGTCATCTTACTATAGGACAACAGAGATATAGTGCCATTGGCAGGCTGAAGATATTTACTTCAGTTTTCTACTGCACACTCCCTTTTGCACTTCTGATTTCACAATGCATTTACTCAGTTTGCCAGCAGGCATGGACAGCACCTGTGGTCCCTCAGCTATGCAACTGTTTGTATCGGCTGAGTGAAAGTTATACTGTAGGCCAAATTTTGAAGCACCTAGGGGATTTTTAAGGTAACTGTCTGTCAATGTTGCAAGGCCCTTGTTGAAAGTTTCCCTGTGGTTTCGTTTTTGCAACAGTTTTAACAATGATCTCAGAGGAGTTTTGAGTCATTCAATTGTAGTGACAGATTCTGTCATGTCACTCACTTTCAGATGCTAAAAACAACAACCTGCAACATACACAACTGCTAACCATATATTTTTAACATGCATAACTAAGTGTAATAAACTGTATACTCAGCAAAAAAAGCTTTTTTCCCAGTATTTTTTTAACGTGTAAATATAGAAACATAAACCGAATATAAACTGAACAAATTTTACAGACATTTGACGAACATAAATGGAATAATGAGTCGGCCTGAACGTCAGCCTCGTTTTTATTACAATATGGCTCATTGCTTGAAATAAACAGATCAGTAGTTAATTTAGACTAGTTTATTTTTGTGATGTTTTGTGGTATTAGTTGGCTTGTCTGACTTTAAAAAATACACTCTGTTGGATACAATTACAGAAAATATTATATTTAAGCGATATTCGCTTAAATACTGATATAGGCAAATTATCAGTACTGGTACTACTCGACCACAGTGCTGCATTTGACACTGTCGATCACGACATACTTCTTGACAGGCTGGAAAACTGGGTAGGGCTTTCTGGGATAGTCCTAAAATGGTTCAGGTCATACTTAGAAGGGAGAGGTTATTATGTGAGTATAGTAGACCATAAGTCTGAGTGGACATCCATGACTTGCGGAGTCCTTCAAGGCTCAATTCTTGCGCCACTCCTGTTCAACCTGTATGCTCCCAATGAGCCAAATAATGAGAAAGAACCAAATTGCTTACCACAGCTATGCAGACGACACACAGCTCTACTTAGCCCTATCGCCTAAGGACTACAGCCCCATTGACTCCCTGTGCCAATGCATTGATGAAGTCAACAGTTGGATGTGCCAAAACTTTCTTCAGTTAAACAAAGACAAAACTGAAGTCATTGCGTTTGGAAACAAAGATGAAGTTCTCAAGGTGAACGCATACCTTGACGCTTAAGGGGTCTAACAACTAAAAATCAAGTCAGGAATCTTGGTGTGTCTCTAGAGTCAGACCTTAGTTTCAGTAGTCATGTCAAAACAATAACTAAATCAGCATACTATCATCTGAAAAATATTGCAAGAATTAGATGCTTTGTTTCCAGTCAAGACTTAGAGAAACTTGTGCATGCTTTTATCACCAGCAGGGTGGATTATTGTAATGGACTCCTCACTGGCCTTCCTAAAAAGACCATAAGACAGTTGCAGCTCATACAGAACACAGCTGCCAGGATCCTGAGCAGAACCAGAAAATATGACCATATCACACCAGTCCTCAGGTCTTTACACTGGCTCCCAGTTACATTTAGGATTGATTTTAAAGTATTATTACTGGTATAAATCGTTCAATGGCCTAGGACCTCAATATATTGCAGATATGCTCACTGAATATAAACCTAACAGATCACTCAGATCATTAGGATCACATCAGCTAGAAATACCAAGGGTTCACTCTAAGCATGGTGAGTCCACTTTTAGCTACTATGCCAGCCGCAGCTGGAACCAGCTTCCAGAGGAGATCAGATGTGCTGCTACAGTAGTCACATTCAAATCCAGACTCAAAACACTTCTGATTAGCTGTGCATTTACTGAATGAGCACTATGCCACTGTTCGTCCCACTGTTTTTACTGTACTGTACTTTATTTTATTTTTTATTCTAAACTGTTTTAATTATTTTTTGTTTTGATTATTTTAATTTCTTCTATGTAAAGCACTTTGAATTGCCATCGTTTATGAAATGTGCTATATAAATAAACTTGCCTTGCCTATATTTAAAGTTTAAAAAATGGCTAAAAATATTAAAGCTATCTTTTGATGGCCCATTTAAGCTGTAAATCAGTTTTCATTACATTTTTATTATACCGTTTTATAGGGATACATATATGCATTTCAGCATTAACATTTATTTTAAGTTACAAAGCTCAATTAATTTATTATTTATCAGTGTTTATTTAATGGCATTTACAGTACTATAAGTCAAAAGTTTAGAAACTACTATTCTAGTCTCTTATGCTCATCAAGCCTGCATTTATTTGATTTATATTTTAAAGTTTATTCAAATAGAAAAAAACATTATTTTAAATTGCAATAACATTACTGTTATTACTGTTTTTTCTGTATTTTTTTATCAAATAAATGCAGGCTTGATGAGTATGACACTTTTTTTTTTCAAAAACATTGGCCTGATGTTTCCAAACGTTTGACCTGTATTTATATATGGCTAACTGTGACACATCCTTAAGGATGCGCTAGACTAATATTTTTTTTATCTAAATACGTACATGAATAAATAACTATCTAATGAAGGAGGGTGGTCTGAAGCCTGCATTAATGCGCTTGGCGGTTTCCAAGTGGACTGCAGTTCGCGCAGAGCCACCGGAGGCAGTCGAACATCACACCTCGAGCTCAACAGGAGGAGAGGAGGACAACAGCAAAGTCTGCACACATGCAAACAGCCCCAAGTCCGCGCTTACTTCAACACAAGGATTTCTCTCAGCGTTAATGGATACTCTCACCTTCACATGTCATTTCCACTGCATCTTAAAACATGAAACGCGCATAGACTTTAAATCGCTTGTTCCGCGCGCAGACAAGGACAGAGGGAAGAGACGTGCGTACTGTCCAAACTAACTGCAAAGACGCAGGATGGCTAAGGAGACCAGAGGGAAAGGTGAGAGATGTCTGTGTGATGCATGTATGTGATGTGACATCTCCGGGATTGACGTGCAGCTGCGGTATTACAGCAGAAAGAGTGGACAGTCAGTTTGCTCTCTTCACTTTCCGCGTCAATCTGTTGGAATGTGTGAGATGATCTAGGGCTGTGTCTCAAAATCTAGTGAGCTGCTGCCTACCTAGACAGCGTTTTTTGGGCGTCATGGGCTCATTTCACTGCTTATGGTTTTGAGAACCAGTCCAAACGTTGGCTTTTTCTTATTTTCATCTTGGCATGTTCTCTCAACAAATTTGCCTTTTTCTGAAATGTAGAATGTTTTTAGGATCTAGGGCAGGAGTTGCCATCCATATCTAAGCCAGGGACCCTTACCCAGACTTTCAGGCAATCCAGGGAGCCCTAATACGATATAGATTCTAGGTTGTATTGGTAACACTGAATAATAACTTTTAGAAACCGATTTATATTTTCATGACTGATATAAGCCTACTAATATCACTGTTCTAATTAGGTTTTGGTTGCTCTTTTACTTAATAATAACACCATAAATTATTAAATAACATTCATTTACATATTATTATTATTATTATTATTATTGTATTATTATTATTATTATTAACAATAATAGAGTTATCATTATATTGATAAAGAATTAAGTTAAGCTGAAAATGCTGGGGGGGTTTTCTGACTTGAAAATGAATAGCTTTGAAATGAACATTTCATTCAAGCAAAAGTTATTTACCTGTGAACAACACTGTTTCATGTTAAAGGCACAGAGGTGTTATATTATGTTGGGGCCTAAAGAGACACACTGATTTATCAGTAGACCTGTTACGCTTTATGCCCCTTTTTACAAGATGTAATATAAGTCTCAGGTGTTCCCAGAATGTGTCTGTGAATTCATTTTTGAGTGGAAGGAAAAACATGCTGTTTTTGTGCATGTATCTTTAAATGCAAATGAGGTGCTGCTCCCACCCCACTTTCCAGAAGAGGACGGAGCCTGTACGGATACTCTGCCAAAAACTAAAACATCTGTTTGGTTTTGATTATCATATCTATTGCGGTCACGACCGGCACGCTCACGTGACATTGCAGTTCTCCATCTTCATGAAAGTTTTTTATCTGCATGCATTTTAAAGCCATATAAGTCTAAATTTCTGATATATGGTTTTATAAACGCACACATCCGAAGCATACGGTGCGTTCTAGAGTATTAAACTAAGTTCTCTTTCACATCTTATTGCGCTTAAACTTTCAAATACACTGAAGGTTATGTCAAAAACACACGAAGAACTCATAAACACAGTCGGTTAGGTCTGTGAACGTAAACAGCAAGTAAAGAAATCCCATGTGTATATGAGATCTGTGTATTAAAGTAAAAGCAGCGTGTGTACCTACCTACCTAGTGCTATATGCTGTTAATATGATTCAAACAACAAAAGAAAAACAGAAAATCACTCACTGCTCTTAATTGAACAACTTTAGTAGCTGAATACATTTCTTACTTGAATGATGCTGTTAAATGCTCTGGCGAGGAGATAAACATGGCGGACTGTGTACAGCTCACTCAGGGCGGGGTCTATGCTTTAACAAACATCAAGTTTAAAGTTTCTTTGTTTTGTATTTCAGTTTACAGACCCCTACAGTAACTTTATGGATCCCCAGTAGATCTAGCAAATAATATATTTGGGTTTTTATGAATAGTGTCGTAAAATAGTAAAATAGTGTAATGAACAAAAATAGGCTTACAAGGAAATGTGTCTCCAGACATTTAAAAAAAAAAAATGTGTTTGTTTGTTTTATCACAATTTTTTTCTTCAGGTTTCTTGACAATATGGTGTGGTTAATAATTCTATCTATAAATCTCATCTGAATGTTTGTTTCTTCCAGACGTTGGTAGAATATAACTGTACATTTGATTAATCTCACTCAGCCCAGCTGAGTGATGAGAGTGATGATCCATTGGTCAGCCTTTTTCCTACTCCAATATGCTGTAATCAGGGTCATTTAATAAAAACACTGTTGCACTGAACTTCTCAACATACACATCCAATGGCAGCACATTGAGTCCAGCATGTCAGAGCAATTATTGATCTGGAAGAAAACTTACCCTTTGCATTTTATGATTCTAAATTATTCTAAATGTCAGGTAATGTGGTGCTTTGCATTTCTATAAATTTATTGATTATGTGATTCACATTGGCTGCTGAGGTATATGCAAGCAGAGATTTGTTTTGAGGAATCTAACGATTGTATTCTTTTTAAATACTAATTTTTCCCCCAAAGCAGCCTAGCTTAAAGAGATAGATGAAGATCACCCAAAAATGAAAAATGTTGTCATTTACTCTCCCTCATGTTGTTCCAAAATTGTATGACTTCTATGATGACTTCTGTGAAAACATAAAAGAAGATTTTTTGAAAAAAATATATTCTTTTGTGTTCATCAGAAGAACGTAAGGCGTACACAGGTTTGGATTGGAATGACTTGAGGGCGAGTAAATCATGGCAGAGTTTTTTATTTTTGGTAGAACTATACTTTTAATATGCAGAGACAACTATAAGTATCATCAACAAATGGTGTGATGTTTGGGGCGGGACTATCTGTTTTATGACCAATGGCAGTTGAGGGGAGTGTTCAAGAAAACCTGTTTAAAAACAAAATTGCAAAAAAAAAATTGTGAAGCTGGTGGTCCAAAATGACACACTTCTGCTTTTATTCAAAATCACTTTTACAAGGGAAAATAAAAAGAAGCAATTTTTTTTAAACAAGATTATGTAGATCATTGATCAGTATCTAGGGATCAGGAAACCAGTGGAGAGAACGTCAGTTCTTAGCCTCGAGTTATCCTGTCAATATGTTTTGTAGCTAATGATCATAAGCTCATAGCATGATGTGAAGCTCATAGCATGTGTCATCTGTTTTTTGAATTTGAAGCTCTATGAATCTCTCTGGGATATTGATGTGACAGCCTGTCATCCATGTTGTATTTCATTTAAGTAGAAGAGTTTCCATTTTAAGTTGGATAGCGGTAACGACTAGACTGCTAAAGCTGCCATAGGCATTTTATTACTCCTCAGGCATGTTTCTAAATCAGCCAAGAAGTTCTCTCTCTGTCATATAGGTAGTCAAGGTATATTTGGTTTTGGATGTTATTTTACAGACTCCTTTGGTTTGGTTACAAAATTTATCACCACGTTTCAAGATTCTAGTTACTGAATCAGTGTTGTTGGCAGTGTGACGGCTGGTGGGAAAGTCGACTACATCTTATTGCCAATGCCATTGCATCAAAGTGCTCACTGTATTTGAACAAGCAGAAATTCCTCACTGGAGCAAAATTAGTTCCTTTACATTTGTCAGAACTGGTAGCCAATCAGCAAACACTTGGCACTATTTGGTTGGCTTCATAAATAGCAAGGATTCTTCATGGATGCCTTAATGGGTTAGTTCACCAAAAAATGAAAATTATGTCATTAATGACTCACCCTCATGTCGTTCCAAGCCCGTAAGACCTCCGTTCATCTTCGGAACACAGTTTAAGATATTTTAGATTTAGTCCGAGAGCTTTCTGTCCCTCCATTGAAGATGTATGTACGGTATACTGTCCTTGTCCAGAAAGGAAATAGAGACATCAAAGTAGTCCGTGTGACATCAGTGGGTTAGTTAGAATTTTTTGAAGCATCGAAAATACATTTTGGTCCAAAAATAACAAAAACTACAAATTAATTCAGCATTGTATTGTCTTCCGGTTCTGTTGTCAATCCGCGTTCACGAGTCCGCAGTGACGCTGATGAAGTAAGACGCTGCTGACGTGTATCTGGTGCGTCCGTGTATTCGGTTCAAATAAATATGGCTGGGCAAAAAATGCAAGTCTTCCTCTGTGTCGAAATCCTTAGACATGTTTGCGAAGATTGTTTTGTTTACAGCGTGCGTCTCCCTCAGACTGTAAACGAAGCTTGGGCGCACCAGATACACGTCAGCAGCGTCACTGAACGCGGATTGACAACAGAACCGGAAGACAATACAATGCTGAATAAAGTCGTAGTTTTTGTTATTTTTGGACCATAATGTATTTTCGATGCTTCAAAAAATTCGAACTAACCCACTGATGTCACATGGACTACTTTGATGATGATTCTATTTCCTTTCTGGACAAGGACAGTATACCGTACATACATTTTCAATGGAGGGACAGAAAACTCTTGGACTAAATCTAAAATATCTTAAACTATGTTCCGAAGATGAACGGAGGTCTTACGGGCTTGGAACGACATGAGGGTGAGTCATTAATGACATAATTTTCATTTTTGGGTAAACTAAACCTTTAAGAATAAAAAAATTTTTCTTCAAGATTTTTATATGAATATTTTTAATATATTTTTCCAAAGTCAAAACTCATTAACAGATCAATCAGTTAATATGTTATGTACTATACTGTAGATCAAAGATCACAAATTAGTCACCAGTTAGCATCCAAATGTAAAAACAAACAAAAATGGTAACATATACCACAAAAAAAAAACATGCCACAATGTATACACTGTAATCTTAATCTAAGAAACAGTGATTCGGTTCTGTCGATGGCTTATTCTCATTCACAGCGGAGAGAAAACATGCTGAATGTCATGACAGCTACACAGTGCAGAGACCTTTAGAGATATTTACTTTAGTTTCTCATATTGATCAGACTCACTTATAAACAGGAGTGTACATAACTGGTGTGCATGCATTGGTAAAAATTTGGGTACCAACATTTTTGGCATTTTGGGGGACAGGGACTCGTTTACTTACTGGAGTAGGATTTTTCTCCATCTTTGGTAAGATAGCAATCATGATGATAAGTGTGTTCATTAATTATTTGTGGTGCAACCATGAGGCGTGATTTTTCCCCCCAAACCACTTCAGTGGAAATCCCGCCCTGCAGCCGATTCTAAAGTTTTCATTGGTCATGTCAATCACTGTACTGATTGCCTACACCAAACACTGATCCCTAAACCTACCC